TGGGAGATAGCACATGCAAAATTAACCTATTTATTTATTAGTAATATTATGAACTATGGGAAATGTGGTGGGAGTTTGAGTCATTAGTTCTGGAAAAAAAATCACGTTTCCGGACAGCCCTTCCCTCCTCCCCAAGTCATCCGGGGCGTCCTCTCCCGCTCGGCCATCAAGCCTGTGAGGGCGGATCAGGACGAGGAGACTGCCTGCCGCGCTCCGGAGAATACTGCTGTGGTCCCTTCCATTTTTTCCAGGACCAGCGGCCCCGAGCTGGTGTTTGATCGGCCCAGCTTCCAGCCGAGGCCACGGGACCTTCTGAAATTGTCTCGAATCACCCAACTCTGGAACGCCCAATTCCCATTTACTGAGCACCCAGGGAGCCATACGAAATATAGGCCGAAGTTGTAGAACTCAACAAATTTAGTCATGTAAGAGGCATTGGTCTTTTGTTCTTAAAACCCATCGTGCGTTCAAAGAAAAGTGACTGGCGTGGTCGCTGTCCCTGCACTTGCGTAGCTGCGGGGACAGGTCCCAGCTGGTCCGCTACGGAGGTCTGACCACGGAGGGTTCGCCCGCACCAAGCCCTTCTCCCCTGCACCTTTGAGCCGCGCTTGCCAGGAACGGCCCCCTCCACCCCGCCCCCCGCGTCTGTCCCCCAGCACCCAGGAACCCTTTTCAACGTCAGACTCCCTGAAAGGGAGCGAGCTGCTTGCTTGCTCTGCGATCTCATAGAACTTTATGTCCGTACTTTCTTTGCAGCCTTTTATGGGCCTGCCTCCTCCCTTGGGCTGTGGGCATCTATGGGCAGGAGACCTCCCTCTCTCTCTTTTATTTTAATTTTCAATTACAGCTTACATTCCATATTGCTATGTATTAGTCTCAGGTGTACCGCTTACAGCAGGGAACCTGTCTCAGGCATCCTAGCAGCCCAGGACCCGCACTGTGCCAGAGATAAGCAGATATGCAGCAAATATCCGTCACGGGAGTCCGTGAGGGAGGGACGGCGTGGACGAGAGCGAGCAGCGAACCCTTCCTTTGCCTGCGTCGGCGGCCAAGCCACCTTTACACTTCAGCTTTCAAATTCAAAGCCTCTACGAAGAGCCGGCATATTCTAGATCACGCATAGTGCACCGATAAGCCTACCTTTTGATGGCTGCGACTGCGTTTTCTGTACTTCTTTTGTTCTCCGCTCAGCCTCCAGACACGCGAGGCCTTGGGTGCACAGCTGCTGAGGGGAGCCCCGACGTACCCAGCTCCAGAGACTAGCAGACTTGGGGATCGCAACTGAACGTGGCTCTCTCGCACGGAGCAGCCCTGGTTCCACAACCTCAGGCCGACTAAATACTTCGTGTCGGGGAGGTGTGGGCTGGAGCTGAGATTTAACCTGTTACACGAAATGGCCACCGTGCACTCGGCGGCACCTGGAAAACAGCTGGTGGCACTGGCTCCAAGGTGTGCCTCTGGTCCGTCAGGCGGTGCACTGCGCCCACCCCCTGATGTGCGTGGGAACCGCCCCCGTGTCCCTGAGGAGAACACGCAGACCGTGCTCCATTCACACAGAGGGGCGCAGCCAACGGTCATATATTATGTGCACGGGCCACCCAACAGAACTCGGAGCGAAAGAAGCCGGATACAGTGCAAACTGGTGGAGGCTTGAAGTGAGTGGTGGAGCTGGGGTTTTATTTATTATTTTTAATTTTATGTGTATTTTATTTACATATGTATTGTAGTGTGTTTTTTCCATTCCCATTCATCCCCCTTATACACACTCTCCCCAGCAGTCACCACCCTGTGGTCCACGAGTGTGACCCTATTTCTATGAAGTGCCCAGTTAGGCAAAGCTAACCTATGATGGTAATACACAATATTAGCTATTTTTTTTCCGGGAGGTGCGGGGGGTGGTTCTGGGGTGCCGTTTACATGGGCTGTTCGCCTTATGAAGAGGTCAAGGAGCTGTCACCCTTAAAGATTTGTGCTCTTTCAGTACATGAGTTTCTATTGAAGATATCAGCCTGCCCGGCGGCCATGACAAAGTACCGCAGGCTAGAGGGCTCAAACCACAGACGTTTATTGTATCACAGTTCTGGAGGCTGGAAGTCCAAGATCAAGGTGCTGGCGGGGTTGGTCTATCCTGAGGCCTCTCTCCTTGGTGTGCAGACCACTGCCTTCTGGCTGCGTCCTCACATGGTCTTTACTGTGCGTACACACCCCTGGCGTCTCTTCCTCTTCCGAAAACCCTTTCCTACTGGCTTAGGACCCCCCTTATGACCTCACTTAGCCTCAGTTACTGCATTAAAGCCCCTATTTACAAAGACAGTCATTGGGATTTTAAGGCTTTAACATTATGGATCTGGGGGAGACACTGTTTAGTCCCTAACAATGTTACATTTCAATAAAAAGTTACTTAAAACAAAAGGCAAAAACACAAAAGACCTTGGACCCCCAGCCTTCCACAGGCAAGGCAAGACAGAGCCGAGGAGAGCACGCGTCTCCCCTCCCTCCTCCTCCCCGGGGGCCGACCCTTTGCCCAGTGTGAAGCCTCACCACGCCCACCCCTTGGGATCTCAGAATTGCCGAACCAGGGACGCCCGTGTGTCTGCTCTTCTCCTTTCTGGCAGGGAGTGATCATGGTTCTCCCTCCGGTCTGCCCTAACACTGTATGTACTTCAGGGGTTTGCAGGTGGGGAGATAGCTCGTTCTTTCAGTTCACGAGCTCTGTACCCAGGGGCCTTACACCCTGACCTACAGGGTCAACGCATCTCCCAGACATCCAGGACTTTGAGCTGGGTGCAGCCCCTCTGGGGAGGGACTGCGTCTAACGTTGTGTGGAGGAAGACTAGCATAGATATTTGGAGCCCAGCCTGCAGCGGAGATGGTCTTGATCCTAATCGGTGCGATTTCTCTTCCCGGCCAGAGAAGACTATTTCCCAGCCTCCCCTGCAGTTAAGTCGGGGCCACATGGCTGGCTGCTGGCCATGGGATCTGCGTGGAAGGGCGCACCAGGCCTGGCCAAAACGACCGGTGCAATCCTCCTCGTTGTCTTCGTTCTTCAGTCGGCCAAATGCGGAAGGGCCGAGCGAGGACCCGGAGGAGGAGCCGGAACAGTGCTGTCCAGCGGGGCAGCCTCCCGCTCCACACGGCTGTTGAGCACTTGAAATGTGGCTGTTTCGCGATGTGCGGCACGTGTCAAATATACACCGGGCTTCAAAGACTTCATATGAAAAGAATGTAGAATAGGTTATTAGTCATTTTTATAGGATTGCAGGTTGAAATGATAACCTTGGGGGTATCTTGGGTTAAACCATATTATTAAAATCAATCTTTTACTTCTTCAGTGTGGCTACTAGAAATTTTTAAATTTTCTATGTTGTTGTGGCTCACATTGTATTTCTATTGAACAGCCCTGTTCTAGAATGGTGTTTCTCAGCCTCTCTTTTTTTTCTCATTATCATCCTCCTAAGGAGCCTTTTTAGACACTTCTAATTTCCTCTCTCCCATGAAATTTGAAAAACACAGATATGCTGTGTATCTGTTTATGTACTGTAGCCGTAGGAATATCTAAGATTTTTTTTTATCTCCTTCCCTCCATGAGCCAGTTTTGCCCCCTTGGGGACAGTACCTCCCACACTGAGTGACAGTGCATGTTGGCATTGTATGGTGGGCGGAGCCAGAGTCCCTGAGTCACCACCTGAAAAGCCACTCCCAACGAGAGCAAGAAACAGCCCTTTACAGTATAAGCCATTGAGATTTTAGGGTTGTTTATTTTGGAGGCCACCATTAACTACCCTGACACACCAAGTTCGAGACTTTTCAACAGCATCAATAAGAGATCTTAGAGAATTAAAACTCAGGGATCTGCGGGGGCAAGCCTGTGTACTACAATCTGAAGGCCTCACACTGTCACACAGTCCCCAGCACCACCCCCCAAAATGCCAAAAACGGGCATTGGCTGCGGCTTCCTCTTCACTATGCAGGTTCACCTGTCTATACCTTCTTGGCACCCGTTGGTCCCTCTCCCCCAGAAAGACATTCTGCTTGTCTAGCAAATCTTCCAGACCTGGGTCTAGTGCCTCCCTACTAGTCACTACCATTCCTAGACCCCACTGTGCTCAGAAATGCTTTTGCCAAGATCATAGCTTAACAGAGCTATGTGTAACATAACACAGCCGTTATGTATTAGGCGGCACAGAGAAAGAAACTATTACTAACAAAAAAACAAAATGCTCAAGTCTACGCCAAACATAGGAAGGGAAATCAGAGTGGAAAGATACCTTAGTCTTAGTCTATTATACCTCAAACATTTTACTTTTGCAAACCTTAGAAGACATCAGACCACGTGAAGGCATCGCGAGGGCCCCACCCAGGGCGAAGAAGAAAACCCTGCGAGGGGCACTGAAGCTTAAGTCCCGCGGGGAACGTGGTCCTGTCTGCGGGAAGGCTTTGCACAGTCCTGTGCCCAGGACATGGCGACTTTTAAAGCAATTCAACAAAATACTTGGTGACACAGGTTATATACAGCACGTGCTTAGCAAGTGTTTTTTGACTGAGTGTTCATCCGGGAACAAATTAACATCATTTAACAAGGTCCTGGGTGCACTGAGGGCCCAAAGAAAGTTATCCTCCCAGGGGGCAAAGAGGAAAAGGGATTGGGGAGGCCAAGGATGAATGAGGGCTGGAGAGGGGCTCCTTCGAGGAGGCTTAACGTGGGGTTAAAGAGAGAATAAGGAACCAAGGGATAAGAAACACCAAATAGTGGACTCCAACGGTCTGGGGAGGGGGGTGGTTGGCAAGGGGGGAGGACCAACGAGAATGCAGAGGTTGGGCAGTCCCGCCCCCAGCAAGTCCCTCCTTCCGCCGCTCGCCCCGCCTTTATTAAAAAAAAAAAAACCAAACCCGTAACCTCTACCCGGCCACCTCTCATTGGCTGTGCGAATGAACGAGGCCTTCAGAGACCAATGAGCCTCGGCCACGGCTTGGCGAGCGTCTTCCGGCCCGCCCCCGCCGCACCGCCTGCCACCGGCCTCGCGCGGACCGAGGGCGGGACGTGGGGCGACGGGGGCGCGGCGCGGCAGAGCTGAGGCGGCGGCAGGACTGCGCGGCGGCCCGGACGCTCGGCATGGCTCGCCTGGTGCTCGGTAGGCGCGGCCTCCCGGTCCTGGGGTGCGGTTTGAAGGCCCCGAACCCTCGGGGCGGTCCGCAGCCCGGGGAGCCGGCCGTCGCATGGCCTTGGCAGGGTCCCCTCTGGGGGTGGGGGGCTCACAGGCCTGGCCCACTCGAGGACGCTGCCGGGGAAGCCAGTGGAGCCCCGGGGGGACGGTTGGGGAACCCCGGGGACCGGGGCTGCCTTTGGCCGGAGCTCCCGCGCGGGCCTTCGGGCGGAGATGCGGGGCCCTGACGGACTCGGGGCGCGTGGGGAGGAGAGGGCGCCCTTGGCGGGGGCTCCCGCAGCCCACCCCGGGGGGAGCGTGTACACGAGCGTGGCGGGGCGAGGGGAGCCCCGAGGTCGGGCCCGAACTTCGGGCTTCCGGGCCTCCCGGGACATCCCCGAGCCTGGGTCCGAGAGCGGGGGCTAGGAGCTGCGTTCGAGCCGCTGAGGTCAGCCTGGCTTCCTGCCTGGGGGAGGGTGAGTGCTGGGGCGCAACCTGGAAGGGACCTCGGGCTCGACCGTGTACGGGAGAGTCACGTACTCCTCGCGCGCCAGAGTCACGTACTCCTCGCGCGGCTTCTTTTCCTCACCACTTGTTTGGTGGAATTCCCACTTCTGAGAAAATCTGAACTAGCAAAACCCAGTCCCGAAATCAGCCTGGTAGTCGCCCCCTAAAGGAAACGGTGCCGTTCACAAACTGGCCTTAACGATGCAAGAATACGTTAAAGGTGATGGAACTTTTAAAAACTAAATTGAACCCAGGCTTTCTTGAATCATGTAAGTCTCTTTGAAAGACGACAGCGAGCTAGGTTGAGGGTCCCGGTCCTTCTCGGGCTCCGCTGGGTCCCAGCCGCAGCGCTCTGGCGGTGATGACGCGAACCCCGGCCCCCGACAGCAGGTTCGAGTCCCAGCCCCGCTGCCCCGCAGCAGCTTGGCTGCGTGACCCGGAGCAAGTTCCTCAACCCCTCGGGGCTGGCACTCCGCCGGGCCGTTCGGAGGAGCGACGAGTTAATGCACGTCTGGAGGGAGGAAACAAGATGGAAACATTGGCTGCGTTGCTGCAGAGGGAATAGATCCGGGGAGCGGGTGTGGTGGGGGCAGGGGTGTCCCTGTTTAAAGTGGCCCGCCCGTGAACGCAGACCGAGCTCTGAAAGAGGCCGCGGCGGCTCTGTCAATGGACTGGTTATCCCAATGAATGTAAGCAGCCCCTGCGGGGATGACTGCTTTGGGGCCGTGCGCTCTTGGGAGGTGTCACCGACGTGGGTTTAGAGCATCCTCCGCTGCTGCTGCGGCGGGATCGCGGCAAAGCTGTCCGCTCGCAGGGAGTCCAGAGGCTGGGGGTCCCGGGGTCCTGCGGGTGCTTCTTACCAGGGAGCCGGGCAGCGACGTGGGTTTTGGAAACAGAACCGTATCGGTCAGCACTTAGCTATTTATCATCTTAAGTGGGCCCAGAGTGTTTTGTTTTCTTGGGGGATTTTGTGGAGTCCTTACTGGCTATACTTTTGCCGTTGGAATGTATACATCTTTTAATCTGTTTTTCAGATTATTATGTTTGATTTCCTTCTAAACCTACTAGGTCATACTCCCTTTTAAGGAGGTTCGGTCTTGGAGCTTTAGCATGGAGGCATTCCATTGGAGAGCCACTTGTAAGGAGGGGCGGCTCTTGTGAGGACCAGGCAAACGTTAAAAAGACAGAACTCCAAGACCCCCACTAGGGAAAAGTAGCCCAAGTCCATGTCATAGTGAGTGTCAGTGGTCGTGGCCGCCTCTGTCTGGAGGGGAAGCGAGTTCCCCGGGTAAGAGTCAGGGACCATGGACCGTGCCTTTGGTGGCTCGAGCCTGAGGAGGAAGGACAGTGCACTCTTTACCGCTGTCCCCATGGGCGGGGGAGAGGAAAGAGCCTAACCCTCTGCCGCCAACTAACTGCCTGTGGCGGCCTTCCTTGGGATGAGACCTCTGCAGGCTCCAGACCGCGGGTGAAACATCGGGTTACATAACCGGGTTCTGTTTCTAATTATATGGCCTTAGGTAAGTTACCTTTCTGTGCTTCCATTTTCTGGCCTGAAAATGAACGTGATCGTACGTACCACGTACAGTGCTTAAATGAGTTAAGGTATGTTAAGTATTTAGGACAGTACCTGGCACATGGCATCATAGAAGTGTTATTCTGAGTTAAGATGTCAGTTTCAGTTTCTGGAGGATGGTTCAGCAGATAAATATATCAGAATGTTAGCCATGTCCCCAGTACCCTCTGTAAGATTTTAAGTAATCACATTCGTTGCGGGGAGGGAGTGATTAGCATTTTCAGCATTGGCCTGTTAACAGTGAACAATGGGAAGCCGATTCTGTCAGTAGATACAGAGGGTATCTGTATGGTTATCAGATGATATGGTATCAGATGGTTACATGGGGTAATGAGTCCATAATTATTACATAGACTGTGTCTAACTTATTTTGAGTGACAAAAGGCTACAGAAGGGAATACATATATGTATGTGTATATCCATATATATATATATATATGGTAAGGTCCCATTTATATAAAGTAATAAAGTTCTAGGCCTGTGTTACATGGAGATGTCAGTGAAAATATGAATGGCTTGCTCTGGAGGGGACTGTGGATGGCTTTGCGTTGCTTTTCGATTTTTGAAATTTTCACAATGAACTTAGTGTATTGAACAAGTATTAATATGTATCAATTTTTACCCCCCCCCCAAAAAGAACTTCTTTAAGTGAAGTAGATCTTCATAGGGGATTCTCCAGGACCAGTCTGTCTCTCAAGCTTATGTAGAATTAAGACTGTCTTTGCTTAGGTTCTTTTTTTTTTTTACGATTTTATTTATTTTTAGAGAGGGAAGGGAGGGAGAGAGAGAGAAACATCAATGTGCAGTTTCTGGGTGCCGTGGCCTGCAACCCAGGCATGTACCCTGGCGGGGGGGATTGAACCTGCGACACTTTGGTTCGCAGCCCGCGCTCAATCCACTGAGCTACCCCAGCCAGGTTTGCTTAGGTTCTTAATTTACCTGCTTCACTAACTATATCGAGTTCTATTTAACTTTTCCTGCAGCAGCGAAGATGACTGAGCGGCCCCATCCAACAGAAACGCAGTGCACACTTCTGCAATTTCAAGTTTTCTAGTAGCTACATTCAAAACGGCAAAAAGGAATGAGTGAAATTCATTTTAATATGCATTTATTTACCCAATATCTCTAAAATACCATTTGAATAAAATACCATTTCAGCACAGAATCAATATCAAAAATATGAATGAGGTAGTTTTTTTCCTTCCTACTGAGTTTTTGAAATACAGTGCACTCTTTACACCTGCAGCGTCTCTCAGTGCGGGGTAGCCGTGTGTGGCCGATGGCCACCGCACTGGACAGCACAGTTACCGAGGGAGCCGCTTTGGTCGGCCTGCTCCTCGTCCCCACCCGCCCGTCCCCACCTCTTGAAATGGAAGAGGGGCCCTGGCTGGTGTGGCTCAGGTGGTTGGAGCGTCGTCCTGTAAACCAACAGGCCGTGGGTCTGACTCTGTGTCAGGGCACGTGCCCAGGTTGCAGGTTGGGGCCCAGCGTCAGGGCACATACAAAGGGCAACCGATACCGATGTTTCTCTCCCCCGCCGCCTTCTCTAGTATCAGTGAATGTGTCCTCTGAAAAATGGACGGGGGGAGGTCATCCATCACAGGCGGGGGGTCCCTCCCCCTCCTCCCGACCCTGGGCACTTTGTTCTGCTTCTTGATTCTCTGTGCTCTGTCTCCAGCCTTTCCCTCTGCCCGCACCTCCTCCTCTCGTGCTCGGCCCACTCCCATCTTCACAGCGAGACCAGCCTTCTGTCCCGCGTTTGCTTGTGCTCTGCTGCTCTTTGTGACGAACCCGTGTCAAGAGCTACCTGTACTGTTGTCGCCAGTGTGCTCCCTCCTGCTCTCCAGGCCCCTGCAGACCCTGCCCCACCCCACCCCAGCCCAGCCGCCCGTGACCTCTGTGTCGGGAGAGCCAGTGCAGCTGCCAGTCCTTCCTGTGGGAGCTCCCAGGAGCGGTCGTTACTGTTGCCCGTCCCCTCGTGCCCTCGGTTTGTGTGACGGTGCTCTCCTGACAGCTCCCGTCCACTGCCCACGCCGCAGCCAGACCCTTTCCAGAGAGCGAATCCGATCGCACCCCCACCCCCACGGTAACCCGTTCGTGGCTTCAGTCACCATTAGCAGGGTCTCCAGTTTGATTTCAAGTTCCTCCATTAGCAGGCTCTGTCGTTCAAATGCAGTCATCTCGAATGGTGTGATTAGTTTACTCTTGTCCCTGGCGCACAACCTCCTGATCTCGAGCACTAGAAAGACGGCGTGGTTTAACGGGAAAAGCTTGGAAATGGAAGTCAGAGCTGCGCTTGCATGTACAGCCGTAGACGGCCCCTGGTCTCATTCTGCCTTTAGTTAGCCGTGCTCTCCAGTTAGTCATGCTGTGGACAGTCGGGTGACCTGACGTAGTGGACAGTGGTTTGGAAATTGAAAGCACTGTGTAAGTGTTAGGTGGACTTTTTAGCAATAAAGCAGTTCACGTTGGTGTACGCGCCTTCCAAAAGGAATTTACCACTGGGTCACTCGAAAGAAGCTCCATCTGATGCCTTCCGAACCCCCTTTACGAAGTGGGCACAGGAAGGGGTGACTGCCTTGTAGATGCTGAAAAGACAGTGATAGACATTTGTTTCGTTGCGTACAGTTCACCTGTTTCAACACAGAAGGCAGCACCATGAAAATGGGAAAATATTTCTGCTGAAATCAAGAGCATTCCATTACTTAGCATTGTTCTGGAGGTATAAAGCAATACAAATAGAAAACATGAAATTACATGTAAATCTGGAAGGAGGAGGTGAGATTTTGGTAGTGTTGCCATTCAAAAGACTTCTGCGTCCTGGAGACCTTGAGAGGATCCCAGTCTAGCAGGGGAGACAAATCATTACTTCTCCCTACAAAAAAAACAAAAACAAAAAAGCTTTGATTGTTGTAGAATTCTGCACCTGAAACCTGTGTAATTGTTCACCAGTGTCACCCCAATGAGCATAATAAAGCCCGAAGAGCCTCAGTAAAGGTGACGTGCTAATACTGCACCTGAGGAACGTAGGACATCAATGCTGTGTGGATTACTCGGGTCACGGCTGGGTGTGCCCTCCGACTTCCCGGTGTCCTCGCCCGCCTAAGGGCAGTGGTAGTCCCGCCGCACGGGGCAGCCACAGAGAATGAGGGCGCTAAGAATAGTGTGTAAACCTTTTTCCAGTGCAGCTCCCTTCTTGCTGGGCACTGCACGCCCCTAAAATTCCAGGGGCTCCTGGCAGCAGGGGCAGGGGTACGGTGTTAGGAGGGGCCTGCCCCCAGCCGTGCTTCTCCCCGGGGCAGGGGGCGGGGGGGGGGGGCTCCACGCGCTGAAGAAGACTCTGGTCCCCGGGGTGTCCGTCGGCACGAGGCCTGCCGTTGACGCTTTGCTTTTGGTTGTCTCTCCAGGTCTGGTGAGCTGCACCCTCTTTCTGACAGCGGAGGGTCTGTATTCCTCTAGCGATGATGTCATCGAACTGACCCCGTCCAATTTCAACCACGAAGTTATTCAGAGCGATAGTTTGTGGCTTGTAGAATTCTTTGCTCCATGGTAAGTATTATGAAATATTGTCAGTCGTTTATGGTACTTTACAAGGAAAAATACTATATAAAAATGTGGTTTTTATCTGGCCATCTAGTTTACCTACTGACAGAAGTAGAGGGAAGTGGGAGGAGACTCCACAGCGTGTTTGTTAAGGGCCATGGAGACGGAGTCAAGGGAAAAACAATGGGTGAGGGAGCTCATTTTTGCAAGACAGAAGAAAGAGAAAAACCCCGAAGAACTTGAAGGAGATGTGTCCCTGTGAGGAGGTGAGTACGGGCAGGTCGAGCAGGAGCCGATTTGCAAAGGGAGAACACTGGGCAGAGAAAGGGGAAGAGCTGGGGCCGGCCCCCCTCTGTGTCGTGAAGAGGGTTGCTGCCAGAAGGACGTGATTGGGAAATCGGGTTTGATTTACCAGTTCCTTCCTTGCCTCAGACTCATTGTTGGAAAAAACCCTTGTGGGGTGAGGATATACTTACTGTTGAAATTAATAGTGTTACAATTATGTATAGTCAGAACACAGCATGTAGTTGAAACATTTAATGAAAACAAAAAAACCCAACAAATGGAAGTTCAGAGACAGGCCGGTGGAAATGGTGCAAAATGCGCAGGAGACCGTCAGTGCTGCGCACGAGCAGGCGGCGGTGCCCGGGAGCCACCCGGGCGCCAGCTCATGGGCACACGGGGGGCTGTGGGCTGGCCGGGGACCCCGGGGGGCCTTTCCAGAGGTGAGCTGTGCCCCGAAGCTCACCCGGGGTGGTCAGTGACATTCTGACCTGAGATTTTAGCATTTTGGGTGTGCCTGATCTTACTGCTTCAGTTTGTCCTCTGGAGGACCGTGGAACTGAGTTTTGGGGACAGAATACCAGTCCTTGTGAAATGTTTTACTTAATGTTCATCAGTGTAGCAAACGAAGGCAAAACCCTCTGTTTTGGAAGTTGATGCTGCCACATCATGAATAATGTTCATCTTAATGCCTTTATTATTTTTTTAAAAGCTCCCATTTGTTTTTTGGCTATTAAATCCAAGTGAGGATTTTATATGGGCTAGTTCATCTGTGTTAGTAAATGAACAAATAGTTGTTATTTGTTGGCATGAGTCATTTACCTTGTTTCTGGGAACTAGGATGTACGAGAATATGCCTCACTCCAAAACTAAGCCAGCAGCGTCGTGGAGAAGGCGGGGCCTGGACCGGGGGCTCTTTGCTACTGTCCCCCGGCAGGGCTGTGCTCCACGCCGCTCTGGTAGAGCCTGTCTGGTTAGAGCAGGCGCGGTCGGCCTCTTCCTGTGCTTGTGCGTTGGCAGGCGGGTGCAGGCGAAGGCTGTCGGATCACAAAGGAGAGCTAAAATACTAAGTCAAAACATTAAAATAAATGGCACGTGTTTGTGTGGCCCTGCTTTGCCGGGCGGTACAGACGGGGCCGGGCAGCAGGTCTCACAGCTGCGCCGCCCCCGAGTCCTGGGGCAGCAGTGAAGCCCCTCGGTGCGTGCGGCTCTGCCGTGGTGACAGGGACGCGGCTGGGTGCTCACCCGCTGTGCTGTGTTGCTCGTGTTCACAGTCGAAAGGAAGCCCTAGACTCCGGTGGCAGGTCGGTGAAGACAGAGCAGGGGGCGGGGCTGCCAGCAAAGCTCACAGAGCCCTTAAAATTTTTTTATTTATTTATTTTTAATATTATAGGAAAGGCAGGTGGCAGCTGCAGGTGTTATGCTGACCTGAGCTGTCAGTCTCTCCAGGTTGCTCTACAGAGCCCTTAAGTTTTACTCACAACCCTTCGTGGGGGTCGGGGGTCTGTGGGCCTCGGGCGGAGGGCCCTCGGGTCAGAGGGTGGGCTGCGTTTGTATTTATTTATGTGGCGTTTTGATGTGTCTTTACGTTGCTTCACGTTAAAAATGAAGGAGGTACATACTCTGAGAGCCTCTGACTGGCATCCTTCTTTCGTAAAGTGACATTAAGGAGGCACAGAGGTCTATAACATTTGGACTCCTGGAGTTCTAAGTTGCTCGCCCAAACACCAAAACACAGGACATAGAAGTGTGTAGGAACAACACTTCAGGACGCTGCCTCGAAAGGCCCCGTGGCGAGCCGGGGGGAGCTGCTGCTCCCACGGGACTGAGCGCGCGGGCTCTGGGGCGTGAGGCGGCAGGGCGGCAGGGTCTCGTCACCGCTCGGCCTCGGTTTCGCCACCCGTCACACGCAGGCGCCAAGGCCGGCCTCCCCGGCTGTGCCGGTCACCTGCAGTCCTGGGTGGGGCCGCCCGCCCACGGTGGTGCCGGCATGCCGCGTTCACTCAGTGAGCCCTCGCGGAGCCCTAGTTAGAGGGGAATTCACTTTGTTCGCAGCAAGGAAAACCCGGCTCGCCCTTGTGTGAGCTAGCCGGGGCATCGCCACGTGGTGGGCATTGCAGATCCGAGAATGTGAGCAGCACGGCTGCCTGCGGTGGCGCCAACACAGCGGGCTGCGCGAGTACCGCTTTTAGAAGCGCTTTCTGGGTGTCTTCCAGCTCACCCACGTTCGAGTGCCAGTTCCCGAAAGGTTAAGGGTTTCCTCGTGGTCTTGTCTGCCGTGTGTCTCTCTTGCTCTTCTGTCACCGCCTCGAGGTGCCCTGTGCTGTCCACGTGTCAGGCTGACCGACGTGGGGCGACGTGCATGTCGGCCCCCCACGCTGCAGGGGGGCCGCAGCTCGGTGGTGTTTAGGCTCGAGCACAGGTGCCTCACCTGTACGTGGAAAGGCTGCACTGGATCGGAGAATATCAAACCGCAACAGGTTTAAGAAGGAACCACTGGCCGAATTTATGAAAATACGTGTTCCTAAACCCCTTCTCCGAGGACCTTGGATCTCTCGGGGCCCGGGAAACCGCATTTTGCCTGGTCCTGCAGCTCGAGCCCCACGCGGAGGGACGCTTGGCCAGATGCGCACTGACGCTCGGGCCGAGCAGCGAGTTGGGGGTGACGGGGTTTGTGTAAACGCTCTGAACGTAATCGAATCGTGCAGTAGTTTGGAAGCGTCGTAAAGCTACGAGATGAAGAGGAATTGCAGCAAAGTCGGAAAATACTGGGCTCCTCCAGGGTCCCGTTCCGTGGGTGCTCGCGCTTCTCGCACACCCCCGCCCCTGTGGCTGTCACTCGGCAGACCTGGCGGGTGGTCTCCGAGTTGGGGATCAAGGACTTTAACTGTTGCGTTGTGTTTTTCTCCGACAGGTGTGGCCACTGCCAAAGGTTGACACCAGAGTGGAAGAAAGTAGCAACTGCGTTAAAAGTAAGTTCCCGAGGTGTCCACATGTGTCTGTGTATGTTTGGATTTATGCAAATGGCTTAATGTATAAGAAGCTAAAATGCAATGTTAAAGCTCAAACTCCTTGTTTTACTGCCAGGATCATGTAGGAAGCAAAGGTATGGTGTCCATTCTCAGTTTCATGTTGTCTATTGGTGCCAGTTCTGTTTCGGGGGCTAGTTTGTGTTTTACCCATCGCTCCACTTGGGGGTGCCTCCGCAGACTGAAGCCCCCGTTCATTCTGTGCGTAAACGCAACCCCGCCCTTGGTCGTCCTGTCTCTGAGTTCACGTGACTCAGACGAGGGTCTTGCAGAACCCTCTCGGGCTGGAAGGGAAACGGGCATCTCTCTCCTTCTCCGCAGGGTGTTGTGAAGGTGGGTGCCGTGGACGCGGACAAACACCAGTCCCTCGGGGGACAGTATGGGGTGCAGGGATTCCCTACCATCAAGATTTTCGGCTCCAACAAAAACAGGCCAGAAGATTATCAGGGTAAGGACTTCGCTGGCGGCTGCCCCGGCTGGGTTTTCATTTGAGTGGGCCGGGAGACACAGGCGAGGACTGGGCTCTGGGACTGGCCCGCCCCCACCTGCGGTTCTTCAGCCTCCCCGCGCCTGCGTCTCCGCAGCTCCGTGGCCTCCGTGGCGGCGCAGGGCGGTGCCTGCCCCCCCTGAGTCGCTCTGAAGGCTGCGTGGGCGCCCGGCAGGCGGGGGGCTGTCCCTCATCGTCCCCACCAGCTCAGGCCACGTGGCCTTTGCCACGATGGAGTAACGATGCTCTGTGCTTCCCTCTCGTCTTTCTCATTACAATTTTTTTAAATTACTAGCTATTTAGTATTTTACAGTTCCTTAACACTGAGTAAAGATCTGCTGGTGTCCTCTCGCTGTGACCTCCCCTTTGCTGCAGGGGAAGGGTCTGGCACAGCGGCCCAAGAGGGCCCGTGGTGGGGAAGCCGTGCAGACTGCCTGCGGCGGCGCCGTGGACGCTGGGCACGCAGTGTTACAGCCGCGGCCCAGAGCCCCGAGCTGGTGCTGAGGGCTGCCCGTGCTGCCCGTCCGTGGATGAGGAAGGAAACCAGGAGCACCTGCTCCTGGGCCCTGGGGCAGCCGAGGAGCGAACTCGGGCTCCAGACTCTGGGAGCTGAACGTTCCTTCAGTTACCCGTGTGTTCTTGTATGGAACAGCCCTTAAGATTTATTACATGGGACACATAAGTGGCAACTTCACAAATCAAACATCTTCGGTTTTGCTTTATGTGAGAAAAACAAGTTTGCGGGGCGGGGGCGTTGCAGAACCAGCAGGCCCGGAAAACGGTGTCACCGTGCCGTCTGTGCTTGGTGGCCTGCGCCGTGTGCAGCTGACAGAGAGAACATCTCAGCAGGGGCAGCGCGAGGGGAGAGCAGAGTCCGGAGAGGAAGGGCAGGGGTGGCAGCCGGCCGGCTCGGCTGCTGGCCTCACCACGCTCCGGCTTCGTGGCTAAGTGTTGGGCTGGCCAAAAAGTCCGCTGGGTTTTTCTGTACGGTGGCTCTAGCAGTGTTTAGATGTCTTTAATTTCATTTGAAACAATTTTGTTAGATTGTATCATGACAGCTGTCATATCAGCCTGCATTAAAAAAAAAAACTTAGCAAAATTGGTGAATTTTTGTGCAGTCATTTTAATATTGAAGATGGAAGAAGACACACAACATTTTCAGTGTATTATATGTTATTTCAAGGAAGGTAAAAATGCAACTGAAATGCAAAGAAGATTTGTGCAGTACAGGAGAAGATTCTGTGACTGATCGAACATGTCAGAAGTGGTTTGCGAAGTTTCTTGGTACTGTGACACTCTGGCCAAATAATTCTTTGCCGTGGGGCTGTCCTGTGCACTGGAAGATGTTTAGCAGCCCCCTGGCCTCTCCCCAGCAGAAGCCACTAGCAGGAGATAGCCGACATACTCAGAATATCCAAGTCAGTAAAGTTAGTGGTGACAATGAAAAATAGGTCTTTTGTTTTACAGAGAAAACTAAATGGACTTTTTAGCCAACCCAGTAGAACACTTAACTCTCTAGACCTGCTTCTGTTGTGTAAAATGAGCATGTGAAACCTACATTGCCACCGAAAGGTGCACGGGAACCACGTGACTTGGTGAAGACAGTGTAGTCGGTACGTCACCAAGCTGGGGTTCAAAGTACCAGAAAGCCTCGCGTCCTTTCCTCTGGACTCCCAGCCCCGAGGTTTGATGAGTGATGGGTGTCATTCTTTCTGAGTAAACATCTGCTTCTCTGCCCCAGAATAATAATTTGTTTTGCTAACTTATAAAAATCAAATGTTTACAATAGGGTTGCATTTGGCTTGCTGCCTGTTTACTTATTTTTTAGAGAGAGGGGAAGAGGGAAACATCGGTGTGTGGTTGCCCCCCACGCACCCTCCACCGGGAACCTGGCCTGCAACCCAGGCATGTGCCCAGACTGGGAATCGAACCGGCAACCCCTCGGTTTGCAGGCCGGCACTCAGTCCACTGAGCCACACCAGCCAGGGCCTCTTTGCCTTTTTTGCTCGTCTGTTTCTTGACTTGGTCTGTTTCCAGGTAAAGCCTGGTGGGAAGGGCCTGTTTGGGGCTCCACACTGCCCTTCTGTCCAGCCCGCGGCACTGGGGGTCCTGCCGGGGTCGCAGTACCGGCTGGGCAGAGCTCGCTCTGCGTGGTGCTGTACAGGGTTTTCTTGGGCCGGGTCCAAGGTGGTCTCGGATTTTATCTCTTCCTAGGGAGTTTGATTAGAAAAGTCATTTTTAAAAAAAGAAAGATGCAACTTTCTGAATGTTAGAGTTTTGCGTTGGAACTCTGAAATTCGCCTCGTGGCATGTAATGCTGCCCTGACACTTCTGAGTCGGCTTGCAGCCCCTGGCTGCTTGAGCGCGCGGCTCCGCAGGCTTCCGAAGGCTGTCGAGTGCCGGCTGCAGGGCCCGAGCGCGGAGCGGCGCCCGCCCACCACCGCACGCTCAGGCCCTGTCCACCCGCAGGCGGCAGGACTGCCGAGGCCATAGTGGACGCCGCTCTCAGCGCCGTGCGCCAGCTCGTCAAGGACCGCCTGGGCGGAAAGGGTGGCGCCTACAGCTCTGGAAAACAGGTAAGGCTGTGCCACGTCTGTCGGCAGTGGGGGACGATTTTGAAGCCTGAGAGTGGGCCCCTGGTAGGAGGTAGCTTTGTCGTTGGGGGGGTTTTTAAGTTGTAAATCGGTAAACTTTCAACTAAAAGATCACAGGAGGTTGGGTCCACTGACCCCATGGGCAATCAGCCGTCCAGCCCGCCCATCCAGCCCCCTCAGAGCCACCCACTGCCACCGTAGCCAGTCAGTCTGGGCACATCTCGCCCAACCGCAGGCCGAGAACCAGCCTGCAGAGAGGCCCCTCGGCCGGGGCTGAGGGAGAAGAGAGTGGGCCGCAGGGGGCACGGCTTCCGGCCCCTCCGTCACGTGGCTACAAAGTCGGGGGAGGGGGCTAGCTCTCCCCCAGACTGACTCCGGGCGGACAGGTGACCTTGGGGTAAGCCCCCAAGCCCGTGTCTGTGGCAGTGAGCCCGGAGTCCCCGGGAAACTCGACGTGAATGCGCAGCGAAGAAGAGAAGAGGTTCCGGCTCCGCGGGAGGGCGTGTTAGGTGCCCTTCCGTAACATGTGACAGTGCCCCATGACACGTGCTCCTGGCCTCGGGAAAGACAGCGGACGAACCCTTGCTGACGAACACAGATGAAGTGGCCCTCTGCTCTTTGGGGAGACCAGCAGGACTGGCTGCTTTGTGCAGGCCGGGGGCACGTCCAGAGATCTGTGTTCTCGCCTTTTATTTCCAATGTAGACGCTTAACGAGCCCAGCCGCCTCCCCGAGCTCCAGGCCTATGGGCCCAGGCGGCCGAGAGCAGGCTTGCGGTCCCGCCTGGCTCTTAGGGCTGGCGCTGAAGGGAAGTATTTGAAGAGAGGAGAGGAATAGATGCCGTAGTTCGCTTTCTCAGACTGGGGCGGGGGGGGACTCTGTGGGAGGGCGGGGGGGGGGGCAGTGGCGTGGAGCCCCCTGGGGCGGCCAGCGGCCGCGCTGGGGTCCGCATCCGCGCGGGCAGCCCTATCAGCACGACTCTCAAGAAAAATGGCAAGCGGCAGGATTTAGACACGTGTTACATGTCATGCTGAATGTGCTGGTAGTTGCTTGAAAGTAAGTGCTACCAACCAAGCAAAAATAAAATACCAGTGTTACACGATGTCCCTGATTTGAGTGAAGTAGTTCTCACTTGGGAGGATCGCTCAGAAACTCTGTTAACTCGCGGAGGCGGCCTCTGTGACTGGAGCACTGGGAGCGGGGGTCCTGGGCGCTGGCCACGCCGCAGCTTGCTGTTCGGTGTGACCCTGACAGGGCAGAGGTGAGAGTTCAAGCAAGAAGGACGTGATCGAGCTGACAGACGACAACTTTGATAAGAATGTTCTGGACAGTGACGACGTTTGGATGGTTGAGTTTTACGCTCCGTGGTGCGGACACTGCAAAAAGTGAGTCCCGGGGCTTTCAGACCGCTGTCTGTCTGCTTTCTCGTTTTCCACCCTCCCTGCCCGCTTCACCCACCCTGCCGCCTGCCCGTGAGCTCTGTCTGTCCAGGGGCTCGGGCGGCGCCCTTTAGACCCACGTGGGAGTGTGCACGCGCCCCTCGGAGGAGCTGGGCCAGTTACAGATGTGGCCAGGGTCTCCTCCCGAGAGCCCCCGACTCTAAACAAGTGGTGGACGTTGGCGTCAACGCCAAGCGGGTCCTCTCCCACGTTCTCAGAGGCTGACAGGGGGCGAGCATCCAGGTTCTGGGGGGGACAAGGGAGGGACTGGGAGCACGCGTGGAAGGCAGCATCCTGCCCCTCTCGGCCGCGCTGGAAGTGTTTTCCGAGGGGACGCAGCCGGGCTGAGCGGAAGCACATGCGTCCGAGAAAGCGTTCGAGCTGAGAGTCGGGATCTCCTTTTGCAGCCTGGAGCCGGAGTGGGCCGCCGCCGCCACCGAGGTCAAGGAGCAGACGAAAGGGAAGGTGAAACTCGCGGCCGTGGACGCCACGGTCAACCAGATGCTGGCCGGCCGCTACGGGGTGAGTCCGGCTCCAGGACCGTTGTTCAAGAGAGACAGGGTTTCACGGTTCCTCCGTCCAGTGCCCGGGGTCCCCTCTGAGGCGGGGGCCGGGGGTGGGGCCCGCGGAGTGACCTTGTTGTTACGACTAAGAAGTCGGGAAGTCAGGACTGTTACTGAGGTTTTTCCCCAGCATTTCACTGTTTTTATGTGCTTGGTAGGAGCCCTTAGATTTCCCAAGCTTTTACAGGTGGCTCACAGGGCTTCTGAAGCCAGCCTTTTGTTCTAGAGCAGATACGTTGGGTGTGCTCCAGGGTTTGGCCGGACGCGGCCGCACCTGGCGGTCGGTTGTTAAACCCCCCTCCCCCCCGCCCCCCCAGCAGACCTGGGCCTCATCATTGCTTGGACATTCGTTCCGTTCAGTTACCTAGAAGGGGGATTTAGAAACACCATGAAGATGACCTGTTTCTAATGGAATGTGAATTTGATGTTTACTAGATTCGGGGATTCCCTACGATCAAGATATTTCAGAAAGGCGAGTCCCCTGTGGACTACGATGGAGGGCGGACGCGGTCCGACATCGTCTCCCGGGCCCTCGACCTGTTTTCCGACAACGCGCCGCCTCCGGAGCTGCTGGAGGTACAGTGGGGGGGGGGGGGGCAGGGGGGGACGGAGTGCCGGGCCGTGAGGACACCCCTGTCCGTTCAGATTAAGCTCTTTTCCTGCTCCTTTAAAACGTTCTTAAAAGTGTTCCTGCACTTTCGAAGGGGCAAAGCCTGTCCGATTATTAATTGCTGCTTTTCATAACTCGAGCACTGAAATAATTGCACTGTGAGAAGTGGCGAACCTAAGCTTCTTAAAAATAGAGTGGGTCTTCCGTCTCTCCTTCTCAGAATACTAGCTAACATTTATTTAGCCCCTGACCATGTGACAGGCTCCGTTCTGGTGTTTTTGGGTAGGATTTTCGCACTTCAGTCTCACGCGAACACTTAGAGGTGATACCACTTTTAATCTCACTTTACGTACGAGGGCGCTGAGGCACTGCGAGCCTCAGGTTCATGTAAACACGTGATGTGCGTGAGCACGTCCGTCCGCCTGCTCAGAGCTGCGTGTCGGAGCCGGGCTGTGCGGGCGTTGCGCTCAGAGGCCGCACGTGCAACTCCCCCGCCGCCACCGCGGGCCGGCGGCTCAGCGGTGATCCTCAGCGGGCGTCTGCAGAGCCAGCCGCTCTGGGGCGCTTCTGGAATGCGGGCCAGGAGGTGCCGTTCGGGAGACGTCTTCTCTGTCTCTCGCTTTGCTCTGTGAGGCCAGTGGCGGTGCTCAGTCGGTCTCCCGTCACTTGTCCCCGCGCCCCGCAGATCATCAGCGAGGACGTCGCCAGGAAGACGTGCGAGGAGCACCAGCTCTGCGTGGTGGCCGTTCTGCCCCACATCCTCGACACCGGTACGGGGCGGTGGGGAGGGGGGCGCCTTCCCGCCCCGTCCCCTGTCTGTGCTGCCCGCCCTGGGAGCGCGCGAGGGTCCCTCAGCGCCACAGGCAGCTTTGTCTTCACCCTTGAAATTCCGTGCTTCCGTCAGGGGCTGCAGGCAGAAACTCTTACCTGGAAGTTCTTCTGAAGTTGGCAGACAAGTACAAGAAGAAGATGTGGGGGTGAGTTACGGAGCTCGGAGTCGCTGGCTCACTTGGGCGGGGAGTTCAGTGCCCCTTGGGGGGCCTGGTCCGCTCCGTGTCCTGCGGGGGGGTGCCTGTCTGTGTCACTCAGGGAGAAAAGAGGTGGCACGGGTCTGTTGCGTATAGGGCACTTGTCTCCACCACAGCACACCTTTTCTCGGGGACCGCAGTCTGGGTGGCAGCTGGGGTCCCAGGCCCGCAAGCAGGAAGTTAGTGAGGGATGTCACCGAGTTCCGGTGCGGCCGTGAAGGAGGGTAGATGAAGGAAAAGGAAACGGAGCTGTTTCTCAGCCCTCTCCCGAGGGACAGCCAGATGCGGGCAACGTTCTAAAGCAATGTCCGCCTCCGTTTTCCTGCCGTTTATCTTTAATTCAGCATTTTTGTATGTATTGAACAAGGGTGACATAGCTATAATTTTAAAAAGACGTTATTACACTTTTTAAAGACCATGCATAATAACCTAGATGATACTGATACCAGAGACAAAATTCATGAGGCCTAGCGGACAATGTAATATTCTGGAGGCTGGGGTCGGGGAGACTGCCCTGCAGGCAGACCAGTCCATTTGGGGGTGCTCTGGAGTCAGGGTGTAGGGAACATGGGAGAGGAACTGTGCCACTGCAGAGCACACCTAGAAAACGTGATTTTTAAAGACCCTGCCTTTTGACTGACTTCCACAGCCATTTCATTCCATAGAGTATCTGAAGCGTAATCTTTCATTCTTTCCTTAAGATCTGCTAGTTAGACCCCAACTAACTTGAAGGAGATCTTTGTCCTGAACGCAGTCTGCTTGTCCAGGTGGCTGTGGACGGAGGCTGGAGCCCAGGCGGAGCTGGAGAGCGCGCTGGGCATCGGCGGGTTCGGCTACCCCGCCATGGCGGCCATCAACGCGCGCAAGATGAAGTTCGCTCTGCTCAAGGGCTCCTTCAGCGAGCAGGGCATTAACGAGTTTCTCAGGTAGCTGCGGTGGTGTTCCGTCTGGTCCTGCCGTGGGTTTGGGTTCGGAACTGGGTTTATGTAGACCAGGCGATAAAAGGAATTAGTTTGCATTTGTCATTCTGGAGAATTAGATGTTTATAAATGTGGGGCTTTCACGTCGTCATGCGGTGGGAGCTCTGTTCGCTTTTCCGTGGAAGCGTCCTACAGTAGTGGGCGATGCTGCCACCTTCCTGGTCTCGGGTCGCTCTGCCCTTCTGTTCGGTGGGCGCCGGCCGGGCTCTTCCTGATTCTCGTGAAGGTCTCCTGGGCGAGAAGCAGCCCAGTCGTCCCCGTGCCCCCCGAAGATGCTCAGTACCCTGGACCTCGGGTGGCAGGGTTTCCACTTCTGGGCACTGGCTTTAGGGCCACTCTGCAGAGCAGCGAGGGGCTGCGGCCCTGGCGCTCGGCGGGCGTCTGCGCGCCGTTAGAATTCGGAGGAGAGGGACGGAGTTCCGGGTTGACGACCCCACCTTCCCAAAGCCTGTCTGGGGTCTTAGACTCTCAACTTTGATGGCTTTTACGTGATCGTCTAGCATTTTAGCAAAATGCACTGCTGTTTTTTAGATGGTTGGTAGTAACTGGCTTTGTCTGCTGCTGAGGCCCTAGGAATTCAGTGATGGTGGTCCTGTTGTCCCTGCTTGAGAAGACGCCACTGTCCACGGGGCGTTTCCCAGGAGTGACCCCGGGGAATGCCTCTTCGTGAACGGGACGGGCGCGTCCTTCTTCCCCGAGTCACTGCTTCACCCGCCCCGCAGCCCCCGTAACGCCTGTGCTTGCTCTGCTCTTTCCCCCAAGGGAGCTGTCCTTCGGGCGAGGATCCACCGCACCCGTGGGCGGTGGAGCCTTCCCCGCCATCAGCACCAGAGAGCCCTGGGACGGCAAGGACGGCGAGGTGAGTCCGGCATGGGGACTGGGGGGGGGGGGGGCTCTTCTTCCCCGCCCTCTACCTCCCTGGCCCTGCGCACCTTTGCCCCTTGCAGGCCCAGTCCTGTTGGTAGTGCCGCGTGGCATTTGTACCTAACAGAGGCAACCAGGACGAATGTCAGAAATGAGGTCGCTTTGCTGGCGATCACCGGGCCGAGCATGTGCCCTTGACTTGATCCGCTCTGCCTCCCAGAGCGGTGCCGGTGCCGCTGCGGCTCTGCCGTGGGCGTTGGCGCCGGCGCACCTCTGCCCCACCCCCCTCGGGAGGGCGAGTGAAGCGGCTGCCGGTGAAATCGCGGTTCAGGGTCTGGTTCAGGGTCGCCCGTCTGCGTCTGCGGCGGGCCTGCGGGGCTGACCGCCAGTGGTTTCCTGTCTTGCAGCTGCCGGTGGAAGACGACATCGACCTCAGCGACGTGGAGCTGGACGACCTGGGGAAGGACGAGCTGTGAGGGGTCGGCAGGGACTGGGGTCCTTTCCTTGGGAGCAGGTGTCTCCGGCAGTGGGGGGAGCGGTCTGTGTGAGCAGACGGCTCTGCCCGTGGCCTTGTCGCCCGAGAAGCGGCACTTGATCGGTCATCAGAGAACACTGCGACGGTGAACTTCTGCATCTCAAGAAAACAATGGAAAATTCTATGAATTGTAGCCAGTGAATTGGGTTGTATTCCGTCCAGTAATATTTTGAAGAAAACTGATGGGCTGTTGAAACACTTTTCCCTCCCTCTGACTGCTGCTTGGGTGTTCTTGGAGGCTGTTTCTTACGTAAGTTTTTTAATGTGATTCTTTCATTTGAATATTAATGGCTTTTTCCATTAAAGAATAAAACAATATTTTGGACAATGCCAACAAATGTATGAAGTTAGTGTGCACATCAGATCCTGAGTCTGCTGGGTAGCCAGTGAATGAATACGAATGTCTGGCCCCGATGTCTTCCCTCTGTGAACACCTGTGGTTCGCAGGGCGCCACCAGGTGTGGCGGTGGCACAGGTGGTGGGCGTCCTGCGAGGCCAGGCTGCTCGGGGACGTGGGCCGGCAGGGGGAGAAGCCCCAGGCTGGCCCCCGGGAGCTGCGTGTCATGCCCGGCGCCGTCTCGGGTCCAGTGCCAGTGGCCGAGCGGGGCACAGCCGGCCTGACGGTGCGCTCGAGGGTGTCCTGTCGCCGAGTCCCCGCGAGAGGTCTGTGAGGACAGGGCGCACAGTGGCAGGCCACCAGTCTAGGGGCAGGCCCCACGGACGTAAACCCTTCAGGAAAACGAAGTTCTGAAACACGTTAGGGTACGAGTCAAGAGCTGGTTGAAAGGACTGAGCTTTTCTTTATTGTAACTTACAAAAAATAAATACAATTGGAACGGACTTCTGTGAGCACTTTCTCTAAAAACCTAAGTTCCGGAGGACACCCGAGCTGCCCCGGCTGAGGGAGAGGCCGTCTGCCGCCGTCTGGCCCGCGGGGGCGGGGACACAGCAGGGACACTGCGGGGACGTGGACGCCGTGGGCCCGCCCGCCCGCCCGGGGCTAGTCCAGGAGGCTGAGGTCGATGTGGAAGTAGACGTAGGGGAAGTAGTCCTGGTTGCTGAGCTGCAGCCCGGGGATCTCCACGGACGCCTGCGGAGGGAGACAGGGTCGCGCTGGGATGCTCGGGCTGGTTTCCGGTGACGCCCCCGCGCGCAAGGAAGCGCTCCAGACACTGACCGTGCGCTCTGCCCTGCCCTGCACACCGCCCCCCCAGCCCCAACACACACACACACACACACAGCCGCTGACACCTCACATGTGTAAGATGCAGGGTTTCACAACAGTCTGCCCAGCACAGTTTGGGGAGCGGGTGTCCCCTGCAGAGAGGCTGACCGACCCTCACTGCGGAAAGGCAGCCGCCTCCGGGCCCGATACCTACATCCAACAGGCTGGCAGCTGCCACTTCGTCCAGGTGTCGGAAGACGGAGTTCAGAACCTCTCTCAGCCGCTTGGTGGACGACTTCTTATGAGGCTGCAGTAGCACAGCCTGGAAGTTCACGGGGAGGCCGTACCTGCTCAGACAGACAAAATGCGCGAGTTAAACGCCAGCGCAAACGTGGGCAGAGCCACCTGAACGAGAAACCGAGCAGGTGCTAGTAAAATGAAAAGCTGCAGCCAGCGTAGCAGCCAGAGAAAACAAAGCTCGGCTGAGCAAAGGGACTAGGGTCGGGGGAAACGATCACTAGGTCTTTCCAGATAGAAGACGCCAGAACAGGCCAGCCCGCTTCCGACAGCGGCAGTTCCTGACCGCAGAGCTGAGAGGCCGACCCGGCCGCCTGTGACCGCTGGGTGGCGAGACTGGTGGTTCCGACCGAAAGCGTTTGTCCAGAGCCCAGCCTCGCTCGCTGCCTTTCCTCCAGTGAAGAGGGGAAAGTGAAAAATCCAGCTCATCAAGTTTTCGGGTAAACAAAAGACTTTAAATAGACTTCGCGTGCTCAAGTACATTTAAAATCACTTGCCTGGCGCTTTTCCTGTGGTGTTGCCCGAAGACAAATGAGTACTGTATACATAAGGAACACGCTCTTGGGGAGTATCCATTTTTTAAAAAATACACCATCAGGGAGCAAATGCTCGGCTGTTCCCTGCTTGTCACCTGCACGCCCTCCTGTCCCAAGCCAGCTGTGAACGCAGTCCTCGGGGCAGTGACACCTCGGGGTTGCCCTCGATTCACCGGGGCAAACACCTGTTACCGTCGCTATGTTTTCATTTCCCGATGTCCACGGTTATGTCCCGCTCCCAGGCGTCCCCAGGCCTCCCTGCGGGCCGCCGATGGGGCAGTCAGTGCCTGGAAACGCTGGGGTCTCCTCCTGTCTGACCTGCAGACAGGTGCAGTCGGCGGCTCCGTGAGAGGGGGCCGCAGGCCATTGGGGCCACTGCAGCCCAGCACCGAACCCTGGGGCCACCCTCCGCCTCTCCTACTGTCCCTACCCGGGAACTCACCACCGTCTTGCCCCATTCAAAACAAAAAGTGAACTCGCTGACCTGTTCCAGACACCCGTGTCCTGTGTCACCACGCTAGCTTCCCACACCACGGACATGAGAACCCTGACCTTCCACAGCCTTGGACCCCGGGCACGACCCCCTCCTGTCTCTGACTGCCTTGTGGGCTTCTCGGCCACCGCTCCTTAGATGCTGGGGTTCCCTGAGGTGCCCCTCCCCTCTGGCTCTCCCTGGGGGTGAACTCGGCCACACACGCCAGTCATCAACGACCCGACCCCCTGGTGTCTGTCCCCGACCGAGACCCAGGCTCACGTCTAGCTCTCAAGGCCACTCCCATCTCCGTGTCGGCTGACGGAGTCCCCTGGCCTTGCCACCCCGAAGGGAACCGGCTCTCCTCGCTCTGACGCCCTTCAGTCCACAGACACTCGGCACCCACTCCCGCCGAGCGCGGACTCAGCCCAGCACGCGCTGCGGCTCCCGGGGTGGGGAAAGGTCAAAAGCACTCAGAGCACTTGCCGAGCAAAGGCCACCGGGAGGGAGGTCGCAGGAAGCGGGACGTGACCTGGCTCTGTGCTCTAATGCGCTCGGTCAACACCTACTCTCTCAGACCGCCATCGCCCCGTGGACTGGGGTGGGGGGTCCTTTAAAAAGGGCCGGGCAGCTCCACCCACACTGATGAGGCTGTGATACAAAGCAGATGAAGAGCCAGCTGCAGACTGTTAGGTTAAATGACCCTGACTGGCGGACGGGAAGAGCCCTGATTGTCCGGGGAGCGTGAGGCCACGAGGGACACGCCCTGCAGCACACACGCCCGCGCGTGCCTTTGTTCAGGGCTCCCGAGTCCCGGCTGTGCTCAGGGCGCCAGCCTGCGAGGCAGGTGGGCTGGCCGGCCAGCAGGCAGGCTCGGCCCGGGCACCGGCCGGCCAGAGCTGGCCGAAATACTCCAGGTTGGTCTGAGAACGCCCGTCAACCCGGCAAGGAGACCCTCGTCCTCATGGGCCTCTGAGACGCGGTGGGGGGTGGGGAGGGAAGGGAGAGGATGGGGAACCACAGTCCGATCCCCTCTGCGTTCGGACGAAGCTGCATCGGCAGCCACGGGGAGGGTGAACCAGAGGCACGGAACCAAGGAGCCCGTGGCCACAGCTGGGCGAGCCGAGGGGGGAGACAGAGGCAGGGGGACAGGCCGGGCTGAGCACGGAGTGGGGGGCGGGGGCAGTGGGGGCAGCAGAAACGGGGAAGGTGGAGGAAGGTGCTGGAAGGGAAGATGAGCCAGATAGAGTAGGGCTGGGGGGCTGGGAGGGGACCCCAGGCCAACCTGCCGGGGCGGGGGGGGGCAGCAGCAGAGGGGGCCCGAGGGCTGGGAGGGCCTCTGAGCTGCCGACCAGAGCAGGGGTGCAGCCGGCGGTGTGTTCACGACACCCCGTGTGTTCAAAGCAGGAAAAAAAGCTTTGAAAAATAACTCCTGTCAGATCCCATTTTCATAAAAATTTAGGCAGAATTATACACCTCCGTACATTTAAAAAGCCAAGAACCCCAGATCTGGAGAAGTGCACACCAGCATGGACATCAGTGGTGTTTTCTCTCCCTGTTAAAACATCAGGTGATTTTACTCATTCTTTGTGGTTACCTATAGTCTCCAGAATTACCAGTGAAACTATTTTGCTTTTGTTTAAAAAAAAAGGGAAAATAAGTTTTGGTGGTGGCGGTTTGGTGTGGCTGGGTTTGTCTTTTCTGGTGCTAGGAGGCTCGGGCCTTGAGGTCAGGCTCTGAGCAAGCGGGGTCCTGGGCCCTGGGCCCTGGGCCCTGGGTCCTGGGTCCTGGCAGCTGCCAGGCAGGGGCAGCGGGCGGGGAAGTGGGAGGTGACACCAGGGTCTGGCTGCAGGAAAGGGCACTGGCCAGCAGGGGGCCTCGCGGCTGAGGGACAGCTCGCTGGACGCAGAAACCCTGGCCAGGAGCCGGGGAGATGTCCTGTCTGAGGAGGCTGGAGGGCCCGGGAGGGGTAAGGGGAGCCCAGGTGACCCTGGACCTGGCCCGTTCCGCCACCCTGCCGCAGGACGGCCGGGCCGGCTGCCCCCCCACCTACCTGAGCACGGACTCCACGAACACCCGCAGCGCCTTGATGTGGACCCAGGCGATAAAGGCTTCGCTGAAGTTCACCTTGAGCCAGCGCAGCAGGGGTCCCTGCAGAGACAGGCGAGCGTGACCCCTCCCGGCCACTCCGCCCCTTGACACCAAGCCAAGAAAGGGCGCGGGTCTGGCAGAGCAAGCCCTGAGCGGAGAAGAAACACCCAGGGGCGAGCAGAAGCAGCGCATCGGTCCGACGGGGCCCGGGTGGGGAGCGGGTGCCCGGGACCCCGTTCTCCAGGCGGCCTGGCGCCGGGAAGCGCCGCGGGCCAGCCACAGGCACACACGCGTGGTCCGGGCGGCCCCTGGCCTCGGGGCTCTCAGCCGGCATCCCCCAGGCTTCCACCTGACACTGCATGGCCCAGGGGCCCACCTCCGTGGGGGGCTCCGGCCCCCTGCCCGCGTCACCCATGGCCACCGAGTTCCGGGAGCTCCTCACATGACCACAACGCTTTGGGGCCGTGGCAGCTGTCACCGGTGTTGGGGAGGCCGGTCATCTGGGGGAGTTCAAAGTCTTGCAGGGAAGGCTCTGAACTCCCACCTGATACCCCCAACTGCCCACAAAGGTCAGCGGGGGGTCCAGCCAGGGCAGGACAGCGGAGCTGCCTGACCACCGCCACCCGCAGCCAGGGTCTGCCCGCCACCAGCTGCAGCCACCTCCAGACAGAGCAGAGGCACCCTGGCCCCAAAGCACCATCCCCGGAGGGGGGGTGGGGGGCGCGCATAGCCCCGAAGAGGCCTCCAGATGAGGAAGAAGAAATCGTCCCGGGCTCCTCGAAGGGAGGACCTCAAAAGCCGTCGAGATGACAGAAAGTGCAAGGCATGGATTTCTCGGAAGACGCCTGCCCCGGCGAGGATATGCGAAGCCAGGGAACCCCAGGGCTCCCTCGGGGTGCTTACCTCGCCCTCACCCTCACTCTCTCTGTCGGTGTGCCCCACGGCAGGCCTATCGGGGTGACCTAGTGGGGTTACCTTAACCTTGTGGTCCGGGAAGGTGGAGGAGGATCCCTTTTTAAGAGCAACACAGGAAGTTTGCTAAAGGCACAGAAATGATTAATCTCTTAGGAAGCATGCATGAGAAACACACAAATAACGCTCATCGCCCGAATGGGCCGGCAGACAGGAGGCGCGTGCCATCCGCCCTGGGGGCGTGGAAAGTCTTTGTTCGGCTCCATATTCCGTGGGAAGGGCTGGCGGGGGCGGGGGTTGCAGTTCCCGCAGCCCCTCCTCTGCCCGGCCTGGCCCGGGCCTCCCCCTTGAGCACGCAGACCAGGGCGGGGCAGCTCCCGGGGGTGCAGTGGAAGCGACTCTGCCTGCGGAGCTGTCTGTCCAGGCCCCGTCGGGGTGTCCCCACCAAGTGCAGCCCACAGCGGCCTCCTTGGCGGTCAGGGCGCACTTCCACACGCTACCTGCTCTTGGGGCATGTCACCCTTCGGCGCCATTTTTCTCTCAAACGGGGGCAAAGCTCAGGAAAACCCCACCCTGGGCTCTCGAAGGGGCTGATGACACTGGGAGCCGGCCTGTCCCCTCTGGTTGGCAAGCACCCAGACGGATGCGGGAGGCAGGTCCTACCCACCCACTCACAGGCCAAGGGATAAGAGTCTCAAGAGCCCGGGGCCGGGCTGAGCCCAGCTGGTCCCCCCCCCCCCCCCGCACACAACGAGAGCCCCGAGAGGGCCGGTCTCCCAGGCAGGGTGTCTCCTCCCGGGCCCCGTTCCCCGCCCTGCGGAGAGGCCTGGCAGGGCTCCCCAGGCCGGCGTGGGGGTGCAGAAGCCGACACCAGCCGGCAACCTGAGACCCAGGCGGCAGGTGTCAGGCTTGTGTGTCACCTCGATCCTCTGGGGGTCTGTGCCAGCGCGCGGGTGGGTGCCAGAGGACCTGACCGCCAGTCCTCCGGGCAGGGCCTGCCGCCCGGACACGCGTGGAGGCTGCCATGACCTGGCTTCCGTCCACACACGGCAGGGAGCCAGGGGCCACTGGAGAGGCCTCGGGTGCAGTCCCAGGTCTCGGAGACAAGGTTCAGAGGGGGCCTTTTGGGTCGCAGCTCTGGTGGCGACCCCCGTTCCTGCCTGGGTTGGGGTGGGGGCTGGAGCCTGGGGGCCCAGGGCTCTGACTCAGCCCTTCCTCTCGGAGGACCTGAGACGTGTGTGTGTCCCTCCAGGGTGCACACATCCACACACATACATGTATGCATGTTCATGCCTGGGGACACTTTGTACAGTCGGTTCCCGTGGCCTGTGAAAAGGGACAGGCCAGTCCAGGGGGGTTCTGAGGAGCCACTTCAGGACCCCCACGGCTGGTGCTCGCGGCCGAGGGTGGCTGGTCTACCGGACTCCCTCGGAGAGGCCACTGTCTCAGGGGTCAGGCAGAAGGGCTGAACCCCAGCCCCCGGTCGGGAAGGCTCCGGGCAAACCTGCGGCCCCGGGAGAAGCACTTGTGGCTTTCCAGCCCAGCTCGCACTTGCAGCTTTCTGTTTACCCACGGACTCGCCTCCGAGAGGCCCGGAGCGCTTTCTGTTCACTCCTCCCCTCTGCACAAGAGGTGGGTGCTGACCGCCCCCCCGCCCACTGCTGCGGGGGCTGGGGGCGGGACCTCGAGAACACCCCACTCAGACAGGGGCCCCGGGGCTCAGCCCCGAGTAGCCAGCCACTGAGGACGCTGCATGGGAGTGACCTTCCCTGGCGCCCCGGTCACAGTGCAGAGACATGAGTCGGGGCTTCTCCCCGTGGAGCCCGGCCGCCCTCACCCTGAAAGGTCTCCGAGTGGCTGTTGTCGGAAGTCTCGAGGATAAGCACCCACTCTCCGCTGAAAGCGGCGTTCGGGTAAACACAGGTGCTGGGGACGGAGGTGTCACACCACACACCTGGGAGCCACCCCGTCCAGCCTCCCTCTGGAGCCCCGCCTGCCTTGCTCGACCTCGGGGGGGGGCTCAGACAGGGTCTCCTTCCAGGGTCTCATGGGCTGGGTGGGGCTGAGCCCCTCCGGGCAGCACGGTGCCGGGCACGTGCACACAGAGGGCACCCAGCACCACGGCTCCTGGCTCAGGGGCCAGCTCCCCAACGACCTGTGCGTGCCACCTCCCCCCAGGCCCTGCTCTGGCAGCCCCCAGAGAGCACGTGCTCCCAGGTGTGTGTGTCGGGGGGGAGGGGGTGTGCCCAGGGCTGTGGGGACACCAGTGTTGAGAGGTGGGGGGGCCCAGCAGGGCCCTTCTGTCCCCACCGAGCCCGAAAACCCGAGTCCTGACCCCGGCACTCACATACTGTTGCTTCTTATCCGACAGCAACCTGGTCATCTCCTCCCTTTCCCTCTTAATCTCCTTCTCGTCATAGAAGAACTCTCGGACCATGAACCTGCAAGGGAGCGAGCGAGCAAGCGAGAGGCTGTCACGACGACGACGACGGAGCTCCTGGCACCGCCGAGCGCAGGAGAAGCCCCACCCGCCGCCGTCCTCACTTGTTGGCTCTGGCTTTGCTCTTGAAGTCGTCGATCACCTTCCGAAACAGGGTCACCGTGAAGAGACCGCCATCCTTGTCCTCGGCGATCAGCCTGTGGGAGGGAAGCGTCCGATCGATTGCCGGCCTCGTGCTCAGGCCCCAACCTGGCGCTGGGCTGGGCGGGGCCTGTCCTCTCCCTTGGGGGCGGGTCACCACGGAGGTGGCTTCTGTCCCCCCCACCCCCCGCCCCCGTCGGCCTGTGGCCTGTGCACCGGGGCCCCGCGAGCGTTGAGGGCGGGAAGCCCAGGGCGTCCTAACTCTGTGGTCCTGGCTGCCTCCCTCTCCGCCCACTCGCCCTGCACGCAGGAGCCTTGGGGGCCTTCCGGCCACCCAGACGCAGGCCCTCAGCGGAGGGGGGGCTGGGCTCTAGCGAACAGTCACCCTGGGTTCCTGGGTCTGAGTCCCCTTGTGTGCCCGCAGGTGCCCCTGGCCCTGACACGCTGGTGAAGACCGCCCCACAGCGGCCATCTCATGTCCAGTGTCACGGTGGCCTCACCAGGCCCAGCCTCCCAGCACACCTCCATGTAAAACCACCGCGGCCGCTGTCCCCAAGGGCATGGGGGTGGCTGGGGCCAGTGATGGAAGCATTTGTGGGGCCCAGCGGACCGGGGAAGGGGAGTCCTCAGACTGGGCAGGGCTTTGTGAGCACGCCGGTGGGGCCGCCGTTCCTGCTCCACAGAGCCGGCGCCCTCAGAGGCTGCCCGGCTCCAGAGCCCTCCCCGGAGTCAGCTCTGGGACTCTGCGGGCCCGCAGGGCTGGGGCTCCAGTCCGGGAGGCTCTCCTGGCCGGTGTCCGGCACCTGGCTGCTGAGGGGCGGCCCCGGGAGAGCCTGCCAAGCAGGTCCACCTCAAGGGCCAGCTCCTCTGCCCTCTGTGCCCCCTCCACAACCTCCCCCCACACCCCTGCCCTGCAGACCCAGCTGCCCCGGGCTCTCTCCTCCAGCTCCCGTGTGACCTCAGGCTGTGACTGTCCTGTCCCCTGCAACCCTCACTTTAGCTCCTGATAGCCATCTCCTGGGAGTCTGGGACCCTGGGAGAGCCAGCCTTGCAGCTGGGAGTGGGCGGGGCTGCCTGAGGCTGAGTCCCCAGGGGCTGGGAGGCGGGAGGCAGAGGAAGGGTCCTGCCTCACTGTCCAACCTGTGAACATCACAAGCTATTTCAGACATTCAAATAAATACCTACGTGTCTGCCACGCAGCTTTAGGCATCAACCTCCATGCAGTAGAAACCCCCTGTGTCGTTTCCTGCCCCCCCACCCCGCCCCAAACTGCACTCTGCCCTCTGCCCCGAGGCCACCCCCGTGCTTAGCGTGGTGTTTCTCATCCCCAGACACGCCCAGAACCCTGCTGTGCCCCTGAGTGTGTCCTAGTCACACGCAGTGGAGTCCGTCTTCAGACCCTAAGTAAGTAGCCCCGCATTGTATGCGCCTTCTGCGGCTGCTCAGCACCGCAGAGCGGGGCCTGCTGGCCTTCCCAGCTCTCTGGCCGGGGTTCTCGGTGTGACTGCATTCTCCTGTCCCTTCTTCCGAGACCTAGCCAGCCCTCACTGCCTGCTCCTGCTCTGACCCCTGCAGGCCACACTCCGTGAGACGGTTTCCCAGTTTCCCGTCCCTGCCCCAGGCCCACACGGAGCTGCCTGGAAAGCCAGAGCAGCGTGCAGCCCGGGAGGGCTCCCGGGAGGAGGGGCAGGGAAGCGAAGTTCCGAAAGATGGAGGGAGGCTGGTTGTGTGGCCGTGCAGGCACTCCGGGTCGAGGGGCTCGTGCGGGCGTGAGCGTTTGGTGGCGGGTGCCCCAGAGTGCCCACGCATGCTTCCCAGGGTCACTGGGGGGAGCTGGGGTCGCACTTACTTGGTTGACCGAGGGACCACCATGTCCGAGAGGGACTCGTAGGTTTTCTGCCACTGCGCGTAGTCTTGTCTGTGAGAACACGGGGTGGTTCAGTGATTTCCGCAGAAAAGGGGGGCCTCCTGAGTGTTTAGGGGGCTGCACACCCCTTTTCCCGAGGGGCCGAGGTGAGCAGGGCTGGGGCCAGAGGGAGCCCCAAGACCCCCTCTGCAGCCCTGCAGGGTGGGGCCCCGCCCGCCGGAAAGGCCCGTGAGAAGGACCCAGCCAGAGATCCCGCTGGCCGCTTAGAGACCCTGGCCCTGCGTGGCCTTGGGCAGGACCACTGGCCACAGCCACCACCCCCCCAGGCTTGGAGCGAGCGAAGCGAACCTGTCCGTGACACCTGGCACACAGCAGGTGCTCAAGAAACGGCTCTTTGTCGCCGCCGAGACACCGCAGGCACTGTCACCCTGCTCCTGTTACCGCCACACCGCCCCCGTTCAGGGCCCCGGGACCTGGCCGCAGGGGCTCCCCCTCCCTCTCCTTGGGCAGGGCCAGCCTCCCTCCGTGATGACTGGCGCAGGTCGAGACCCTGCTGCCCGCCTTCCTCGCCCACGTACTTGGGGACGATGACCAGGAGCGTGACCAGATACTCGGAATCCAGCACGAAGTCTTCTTTGCTCACAATGTCACTCAGGGTCCGGGTGAAGAGGTTTCCCCTGGGTGCACGTGGGACAAAGGGGGCGCGGTCAGCAGAAAGGCACGTGGGGGCGCCGTGGACCCCCAGTGTGTGTGTGGGGGGGTGCGGGCAGAACTGGGAGCGGCGGCAGGAAACGGGGGGCGGGGGGGAGGCTTGGGCTGCTCCCGGGGAGGGGGACCTTGAGGCTCAGCGTGCCTGCCCCCGGCAGAACCGCCGTGGCTGGCAGGGCCTCGGGTGCTGTCGACAGTCGCCCGAAGGGCTGCTGAATCCAACACCGCCGTCACCATGAGCCTCCGCTGTCGCCGTCGGGAGGGCACCACCGGGGGCAGACGGCTCGTGACTCAAGTGTCCACATGGCGGCCAGCTCTCAAAGCCGCCTGGGCGGCCCCGGGCAGGCGCGGGCCCGGAGAGAGCGCCGTGTCGCCTTACACGCCTCACAGCAGCCAGGGCACGCTCGCCTGGAACCGCTCTCCGTGTGCCCAGTGGAACCTGGAACCTGGCCCGCGCCGGGCTCACGGTGTTTTTGGCACAGGGATCACGGCCACGGCACCGGCCAACGGGCCACGGTACGGCCAGCGGGACTGTCTGTGCCGTCGGCACACGGGCCGTGGCACCGGCGAGCACGCGGCACGCAATGCTCCCAGAATAAGACAACTCTCGAGCGCCGAGCTGAGGCCGAGGGGGATGGCAGCTCTAGGTAACCTGCCATCCCCCCGCCTCGCCTCCGCCTCCCTCGCATCACCGGTAAGTCCCCGGGGACCCCGTTCCAGGGCACTGCGTTTCCCTCCACGGTCAGGCCTCACCTGCCCGCTTCACGCCCATGCGGCCCCTGCACACAGCACACGCTCCCTAACTACTTGCTGAGTGAGTGAGTGTGAGCGGACCACGGGCAGAAAGCATGTGTGCTTCTGCTTCGTGTCTTTAGGGTCTAGCACGAGGCCCGAGTGTGCAGCAGGTGCTCAATGCACATTTGCCAGACAGAGAAAAGGAGAGCAGAGGAGGGCGGAGGAGGGCTGGTTGCACCCTCCTCACCCTCCCCTCCCTCCCTGTCCCGGAGTCCGTGCTGCGTCCGTGAGGGACTTCTTCCCCACCTGACTGAACGGGATGGGCCAGGGGTTTGCTCACGCCCCAGACCGTTCTCATGTCCACGATTTGGGGGTGCGAGTGGACGGCCCAGCAGGCAGACGGTCTCGTGGCCCACTGGTCCATACCACGGTGCATCTACCCCAAGGCCACCATTTAGGGCTGTGTGCCTTGGGCGCCCTGCCCTGCTGGCCGCGCCTCCCTGGCCAGGCCCAGGGAGGGGTGCCACACCCCTGGTGCCCATTTAGTTCCGATACAAAGCCGGGCAACCGAGAACAGTTTCTAGTTGAAGCGCATCTTTCCCTCTTTGGTTTTAAATTTCCCACGAATGTACTGTCTGCTTTTTTCACAAGAAGACAACTGACTCAGGGGCCATCAGAAGAGAGAAAATCCAGTAGCAGGGACACCTCCCTGGTGACACTTTCTTTGCTCGCAGCGGTGAGCCAACCAGGAGGGTGGCCATCCACAGAGGACACGGCTGGTGCCGTGCTCCCCCAGACACTTCCTTTCTCTGCAGTGTCCTCAGAGAACCGTCCACAGACCACATCCACAGTCTTGGGGGGGGGGGGGCTGGAAGGATCGTCTGTGCCGACTCGGCCCTATTCATGATCACCTCCCGGCCTCCCCAGCAGGAGCTCACATGGCTTCTTCTTACATGCCTCCAACAACAGGGAGCTCACTGCCTCATAAGACAGTAGCAGCCATCGCGACACTGGCCTTAGGCTGTTCTCCTGACACCTCCCGCCCTCTCGGTGACCAGCTGTGTTTGCAGAGCCAGGCAGTCTGTCCCCTCTCCCACACAGTGGCCCTTCAGGTGGGCAGAGAAGGCCCCTGAGTTCCCGGAGCTGCTCTGCTCCAGCTACAGAGCCCCCCGCCCTCTGCTGGTCCTCCCTGGAGGCCGGGCTCGGGCAGCTGGGCCTGCGGCTGCCTCTGTGATGAGGGGACTCTCCTCCCCTCCGCCCTCCGCCCCGTCTGCTTCAGGCCCACCCTCCCCGCACAGCTCCTGCAGAGTCCAAAGTGTGTCTGCCCGTCCATGCATCTGTCTGTCTCACTCACTCTCACACACACGCACAGACCCCGGTGTGCCCCCATGATGGGCACCGCGCACGCCCTGGCTGGCCGGGACCCCGCCCCCCCGCCAGGCTCGGCAGCCGCGCGTGGCAGGAGGACAGGGCACTCACTGGGACTTCTTCTCCAGGTTCTCCAGGGTCACCTTCAGGGCGTTGTAGGCGGCCGTGCGGGACTTCAGGTCGGTCTCGATCTGGGCCAGTTGCTGTTTGTAGGGGCGGAAGAGTTCATCAAAGAGTTGGTCAGACTTCCCAGGCTTGCCACAGATTGCTCGTGGCGTCCTCCAGGACACACCGTGAGTCCTGCACGTTCACCGGGGAGGGGGTGGGGGGGTGCCATTTCACCCCCACCTTGCTCTCCGAGCACCCGCACTCGGCCCCCCAGTGAGGCCCTGGGAGGGCAGGAAGGGGTGAGCGAGGGGCCCCTCTCTGCAGACGCAGAGGCTCGGGGAGCGGACCCCGTGGACTGGCAGCCCATCTCCTCCTCTCAGTCAGGGCGCCCTCACTCGGCCCCAGGGCACCCATGGCCCTCGCGTGTGCACCCCCAGGCTTGGCTGGAGGTCAGCGCAGGCTGACCGGTCCTGCCTCTTCAAACACCCATCTATTTGAAGGCTCCGTGGCTCCGCCCCGACCGTGCCCAGGTCTCCGGGCTCCGCTGTGCCCATGGCAGCCCCTCCCTGCTCCACACGGGTGGACAGGCCCCTTTAGCTGAGAAGCCAGTCATCGGCCTGACGTTCAGGAGATTCCCTTATTCCAGAATGTTCAGGAGCGCGCCCCAGACCCCCTCCAGCGGTGGGCAGGGAACAGGAAAAGCCAGGCCCGAGGCCCCACCTGGCTCCTGCCACAGGTGCCCCACCACCCCGGCCGGGGTGAAAAGGTCCTCCCCAAGGGCTGGAAGCAGAGGAAGAAGAACGCCCATCCGTGCCCGATCCACCGGAAACCCTCGCCACAACAGACGGCTGCCCCGAGTGGGTGTTCCGACGATGCTGCAGGCGGCAGCCCAGGCCTCAGGGGGCCCTGCTGTGCGGTGGGCGCTGTCGGGAATTGGAAGGATGCCCACGGGCCCCTGTCCCCCAGGGCCCACGCCACGACAGCAGAGTCCCCTGCCACGGAATCGGTGCCCCAGCGCCTGGCACCCACGGCACGGCACGGGGACTACGAACGGGGGGGGGGGTCCCCTGCGCTGACACGTGTGGGGTGGGGGCCCATCCCCACGGCTGCTGGGAGACGCTGTGCCCACGTCCGCCCACGTCCCCGTCCTCGGCCACCGTCAGCGACACCTCCCCTGTGGCTCGCCGTCAGCCACCAGACGCAACAGAGCGGCGCATGCTGACGTGGTGACACCCCAGAATGGTCCCAGGGGAAGGGGGGCGATCTGTAGGGTACGGACAATTCCGCGTTGAAACACATGCAGCTTTCGTGTAGCTGGAAGGGCCTGCTTTCGGCTTCTGAGTGTCGGTGTGAAGTTCAGGGAGACTGAAGGGAGCGGGAGTGGGGGTGGGGTGGCGTCACAGGAGACCGTTAATGTTTTTAGCTTGACGCTTGGTTATGTTTGATTTGGCGGGGGGGGAGATTTATAATTTTTTTTTACAATTTTAAGAATGTTTCTTGCTTTGCAAAGATTGTCGATTTACAGAAAACTGTGCAAACAGCCCATGGGGCCCCGTCCTGGTCCCCAGCGGCAGGGTCTCCCACGGAACTTAGTGCCCAGTGTGTCGGTATGGGCACGGGCCACAGGCCTTGGTGTCTACAGTAAGATTTATGTGTATATATATTTTTAAGATTTTTTAAAGATTTCATTTATTTATTTTTAGAGAGAGAAGGGAGGGAGGAAGAGAGAGAGAGAGAAACATCAATGTGTGGTTGCTGGGGGTCATGGCCTGCAACCCAGGCATGTGCCCTGACTGGGAATCGAACCTGTGACACTTTGGTTCGCAGCCCATACTCAATCCACTGAGCTACACCAGCCAGGCAAGATTTATATATATTTTTAAAAATCCTGCAACCTCTCTGTTTTTCCGGTTTCACCACAAGCCAGTGAAATCACCCTGCAGCGGGTGTCGGACCCAACGGGACAGGGAGAGGAGCTGAGACGTTGAGACAGAACTCCGACTCTGACCGGCTGTGTGACCCGGCGTCCACCCCCGAACCTCGCCGAGCTCAGAGCCACGGACCCGGTGCGAGCTAATCCAGTCCACGGAGCGGCTCGTGCATGAGGATGAGTCCTGCCCTGCGCCAGCCTGCACTCCCCGAGGGAGGCGGGCTGGGGTCCCCCGTGCACCGCCCCACAGAGCGGCCAGCGCTGGGCAGAGCTCAGAGCGGGCACGGCCGACAGAGCTGAACACCAGCCCTGCTCCTTGGAGGTGCGCCCGCCAGGGGAGGCGGGCACCCCGTGGGCTGGCAGGGAGCTGGCCCTCGCCAGCCACGGGCAGACACGCACATGGTGGGGGCAATGGATCTGTCGCTGTCCCACCAGTGAGATTCGGGGCTTTTCTGAAACCACAGCATCAGCCGGCCCATGCGGGCTGACACCGCCCCGGCTGGGCGGGCCCCCGGCCAGGGGCCCTGCTGCCACTCCGGGTGCCCTCCCCACGCCTCTTCAGTGGAGGAGGGCCAGGCGGCTCAGCTCCCAGCTGGTGAGCGGGTCAAGCCTCCCGGGGACTGTGTCAGGACAGGGCTCCTCCTCCCAGGACGGGAGACCTGCCTGGTCACCCGGACGACGCCACTTGACCCCCACCCAACAGCGGTGGTTACCTCCCCACGGCTCTCCCAGGGGCTGAGACCTCCCGCTGGGGGCACAGGCCTGACCCTGGGCCGAGGGCACCGCGTGGGGGCTCCGGTGCAGGGCAGGGTCGAGGCACCCGGGCCCCGAGCCCCTGCTGGGCTGACTCAGGGAGCAGGGTCAGCCTGGCACCCCTGAGGCAGGCGCCCCGCACGCCGCACGACCCAGCCCGGTATGCCCACCCAGTGCCAGGCCCCGACCCTGCGGCCCCTGCAGCGGGCGCCTCACTTCGGCCAGCCTCCCACCTGACATCGGAGGAAGGTGACACCTACCTGACAGGATGGACATGAGAAGGAAAAGAAGAGAAAGAGCCCCAAGTGGTCTCCCCCACCCCGTGTGGCCCCAGGCACACCGGGGTGCCACCCAACCCCTGCTCTCCCCCCTCTCTGCTTCCTTGCCAAGGTCACTCTTGGGATCCCCCGGACTGGAGAGAAGCCAGGTGCTGTCCTCGCCCTGCTCTGACCCCTCAGCCAAGGGCCCTACGTACTCCGGGGCCTTCGTCACTGGGTCCGGTGACCCTGGGGCAGCCCCTCGGTGAGCACTGTCCCAGGGGACTCAGAGACGGCATTGGCTGCCCTGTCTGGCTCCGCCCAGCCCCCCGGACGGCCGTCTGCTCCTGGGTCAGCGGAGGAGACAGGTGCACAGCAGCCGCCCGGGAGCCACACCTGGCATAGGGGCCCCGGGCAGCCCTCCCGGAATCGGGCCTTCCAGAACCACTGCCCGACTGTGCCAGGAGGAGCCGGGACTTCTGTGACGTCAGGGGTGCCCACGGAGCCTCGCCCACATTCCCGGGCCCTCTGGCCCCGGGCCAGGCCACAGCCTGCAGTGAGGAGAGGCTGGCTACACCACACACCACGGGGACAGTCCCACGGGCCACCTCCTCCTGCTGGCCCACCCAGCCCTGCCCAGGCGGCTCTGCCGCTGAGCAGACAACAGGAGGGCTTTGTTCCTGGCCCGGCTCAGGCTCCCTCCCAGACACCGCGCCAGCAGGACACCTGCCCTAGGAGGGGCCCCACACGGCACGGAGGGAGCGGGGACAGGGTGTCACAAACCATCGGCGCCCGCCCTCAGGGAGATAATGTGGCTGGGAGACACCCCCCCACCCTGACCCGGGGGGCCCCCAGAGCCGGGAAGCAAAAGCTAGAGGCTGTGCGTGTCAAGAGTGGGGGAGGGACCACGGGAACAGCCCAGCCTCCTGCCTCTGCCCCCCCCACCAGAAAGTCCATGTGCTTCGCCAGGGCCCAAATGCCATGTCCATCCACGTCAGGTGGTCAGAGGCCCCCGGTCACGGAAGCATGAGCGCCCCCCGAAAGAAGGGGAGTCCCCTTCTCTTACCTTTGCCAGAGTGTCCACCACGCTCGCCAGCGGCTGCTTCGCGGGGTACTTGGCCATGTCCCACTCAAAGTGGGTCACGAAGGACGTCAAGTCAACTGGAAGGACACACACACACACACACGTTTCGGCACGTGAGCGGGGCTGGCGAGGGAGACCCGGCGGTGGGGCCCGGACCACGCACCGCACGCCCACCTGGGAAGCAAGGAGAGGGACCAGAGGACAGACTGGGGCTCCGGGGTAGCACACCCCGTGCTGGGCCAGCTGCCTGGCCACCGCCCGCACCTGAAACCCCACCCGCCGTGAGACCCAGCAGGCCGAAGGGACGCTGCCCCGGACTCCGCCTCAGCCGGCCGCCCCAGGCGGGCGCCGCTCCGCCAGGAGGGAGGGACAAAGCTGGCTGAGAGGTCGAGGCACCCGGTTCATCCCCTGCCTTTTCCAGCTGCTGGGGCCGCACGTCCCCGCTGGGTTATCCTCCTGATTCGAGGTGCCCCCAGAGGCACGCCAGGGGCCCCCCAGCCAACCCCCAGAGACACGCAGCCTGTCCTGGGTGCCACCTGCCCACAAGACGAGCCGTCTTCCTGCCTCCTGCACCCAAGCGCTGGACAGCGGCGATTTCAACACCCTGGGTCTGTTTTAGAGAAGGCGTTTTAAACACGAGCCAAGTGTTGGAACTGGTGGATGTGGTTCTTAGCACCAGGCATGGGTGTGCCGTTTTCCAGTGTATGTCCTTTACTTTTATATAAAATGGCCTTATAATTAGAGCCCCCCCCATATGCTTGTACCCAGGAAAGGACTGCGTTGGACACAGTGAGGAAACGGGTTCTCACCAGGAGCCACGCCTGCCGGCACCTTGACCTTGAGCCAGCCTCCAGAACCGTAAGATAAACGTCTGATGGGTAAGCCCCCCAGTCTGTGGCACTTTGTTATGGCAGCCGGACCGGAGTCGCCCAGGTTTGGGTGTTCCTTTGGCCTGAGTACGGACTTTGGCACTGCCTCATAAGGGCAGGGAAATGACCTTGTAAAAGGAAACAGCCCTGGGAGGAACCGAATGACTGTCTGGATACTAACAGGGGGCGTGGTCAAGGACAGAACCAGAAGGTCAGGAAGGACTCCTCCCGGGGCACCAGGAGCCCCTGATGCCACTTCCTGAACCCTACCGCGGGCCAGGCACTGGGAAAGCATGCGGGTGACACCTGGCCATGCGGGTCACACGCTGACAGGCAGGGACTGCAGCCCATCCCACAGGCCCAGGGACAGGCACGCCTGTCAGGAGACGCCAGGTTCCAGGGTCAGTCCCCCTTCCCGTCCCCTCTCTGCCACCTCCAGCTTCCGGCAGAGACTCCACTGCCCAAGCCAAGCCACCTCCGGCCCTCGGGCTGTCCCTCATGGCTGCTCCGGGACTGTGACACCGGGACGGAGCGCACGCAGGCTCCCCGTCCCATGACACTGACGATACTACCTGGTCATCCCTGAGTCGCTTGCCCCGTCGGGGTCCCTGAGGGCAGAACGCTCTCTCGGCGTCTCCAGGGCCCCCGCGCAGAGCAAGGGCCCCGCGCTCGAATCCTCCTAATGACCCTGCCCGCTGTCCTAGCTCTCCCGCCCGGGCTGCTCACAGGAGACGGGCGTCGGACCGAGCTCTCATCCCCAGCGTCTCCGCGATGCTCGGACCAAAGCGCGTGGGCTCCCTGTCTCCACAAGGCGGGCCGGAACCACTTTATGGTGCAGCCCCCCGCACGGGGGCTCCCAGACCCTGGGTCTCCCTCTCACCACGGCCTGCAGGGCGCTGCGGGCTGCCCCCGGGGCTGGCAGCTCTGGGGGATGGACGGTCACATCTGGATGCCCGGCCAGCACTCGGCCCAGTGCTTGGCACTCGGGAGCCGAGCCGGGATGTGGGACGAGGGAAGCAGGAGGGGAGGCTGGGTAAGAAGCCCGTGCAGACCTCCCTGCGGAAGGCTCCGGTCTGTGACCGTGACCGCCCCCTGCCCCTGCAGCACCTGCCCCTGCAGCACCTGCCCCCTTGCCCCCCATGGCTGGAGCTCCAGCTCCAGACACTGCCCGTGACCCCTGGTCACTCATCCAAGGGAGGCCTTGCCTGTCCACACTCGGCCTTAGGTGAGAACAGGCTCTGGGGACAGCCTGCCCCTCAGAGGGCACGGCCCCCTCGGGCCGTGGGGTATGGCCAGGACTGTGACTGTCTCTGTCCACGTGGGAAAGAACCGGCCTCCCCTCCCTCCCCTGGCCGGGGTCAGCGAAGCCTGGTCTCCCCGGGAGCCACGTGGGCCGTGGACTGGTCGCCCATGCGTCCAGTCCGTGAGGCAGGCAGGCCCACTCGGGCGGCAGCCCTTGAGCGACAGTGCTCACGACAATGGTCTGAGACCCAAAGCCAGGCCTGCCCGGCAGGCAGGCAGGCAGCTGAACGGGGGACCTGTGACCACACAGGCTGCCGCCCGGAGGCCAGAGGGACCTTCCAGCGCGGAGAGCATCTGTGCCCATTCTAGGGCCCGGGCCGGACCCGGGTGTGCTCGCTCGGCTTCGGCTGAGAGCAAACGCGCCCGTGCCCTTCCGTGCCCCGGGCTCAGCCCAGGGCAAAGAGCGAACGAAAGGGGAAGGTGCCCGGCAGAGCTGCCAGCCGGTACAGGCATGAAGTCATTGGCAGCGAGGACACCGAGACCCAGAGCGCTGACCTGCCAAGGCCGCCCAGTGCATTCCGCAGCAGGACCAGGTCTGGCCGCTCCCTGGCTGGGGATTCTGGCCCTCCACACAGCCTGAGTGCCCGGGAGTGCTCTGGAGGAGACTGGACTAAAACCCCACCTGCCGGGGCCACCCGAGACCCCCCAGTGGGCTCTGTCAGCCCCCGGCGCCAGGGTCTGCAGAAGAAAAGGATTTCCCCAACCAAAGAACGCCAGCAGAGCCCAAGCCAAGCTAAGTGGTAGAGGTCGCTTGACCGCGGTCCTTTCCAGAGCCTGTGGCATCCTCGGCCTCTGTCGGCAATGGCCTTGGGTAGGAAACAAGCTTGGGAAGCTCACGGGGACCCAACTTGCACGAGGCCTAGAGGTGATGAAACAAACAAGCAAAGCCAAATCTTCCCCTGGAGGAGGGAGGGAGGCAGGGTCTCTTAGAGCCTGGGCCATCAGGACCGGGGATGTTACGGAATAACAACACCTGATACTAAGTCACGTGAACGCTGAGTAGTAGCATGTGAGCACGGTGGTCACCATTTGACCGTGAGCTCGAACCCTCAATCCCTAGACACCAGGTTTTCTTGTAGAAAGGTAGCTCTCTACCTTAAGTCAGCTCTTCTGTCTAGGGCCCTACATGTTACCTGCTGGGATAAATAAGATCAGTTGATCTTTTTAGTAACATAACCTGTGTATCAGCATCAGCAGGAAATCTCACTGCAAACGAAGCAACTGCATTTGGGGAGGCGTTTTGCTAGCTTTCAGTCTGTACAGATTTGTACTGGTCCTAAAAGGGTCTGCTGGCTTTAATTCCTCCAGCTGCAGCAGGTGGGGGCAAACCCAGAGCAAAAAGCTCCTTCTGATGCTGAAACCAGGAAAGGCCGGTGTGGGTGCAGGGACTCCCTCCGGGTGCTCGAGGGAAGCAGCTCCGTGCCCATCCAGATGCACGGAGCCAAGCCTGGCGTTGCAGCTGCCAGGGGCCACCCAATGGCCCGCCTCCCAGGCAGGAAGGGGGCTGGCTGCAAGGCCAAGATGCAGGAGGCCACCCGGGACCCCAGGGTCAAAGCACCCCCACTCCGGGAGGCAGGCAGAGCTGCCCAGGAGGCAGGGGAGGCCCGAGGGAGGGGGAAGGGGATGACACAGTTGCTCTCTGGGTCATACGGATCAAGTGACCAAGTGCGAGGGGGTACTGGGGAAACCCGGCGTCGCCCGGTCACTGTGCCCCGATGACCAGACCGAGACCCCCCCTTCCCAAGGGACATGCGGGCACCACACTGAGCACACACACACAGCAAACAACACACGACCTACTCTTCAAACACTTCATTTTCTCCTTCACACCTGCAACGTAAGAAGGGGTCATTATTCAACCGCGTTCCCGTGCAAAGCCCAGTTCAGATCTGGGAGCATGAGCATTTCCACTTGTCAGTTGAAACAAGCAAATAAAAAGCTCTTTAAGGTTGCCGGGAAGGGGGGAAAGACGAATTTCTGTGTCACAGAGGATGTCTGTGTCAGGTATGGAAGCTAGCCCTTCCTTTTCAGGACAGACGCCTGTGTGGCGCCACGGGTCTAATGAACTGCGGACAGTTAAACACCCGATTTCCAAAGCCTCCAAAGTCGCAAACTTTTCATCTTGCAGGTCTTAAGTGCGCTCACATTCTAGGTACACAGTTAATGGACCCAAACACTTTTGGTCGAACTCTCCATTTACTGGGCACGACGTAAGATTTCAGTTTGAGGCATCGCTCAGCACAGCGAGGCATTTCAGCCTCGTGTCGGGAAAGGGCTGATAAATCCGTGGGGGGCTGGGGGGCTGGGGGGTACTTCCCACGCAGGAGAGAGCGGAGGCTGACAGAGAAGGCAGGGAGGGCCTGACAACCAGGAGACCCCACCGAACACATTTCCACTTCAAATTTCACACAGGGTCTCAGCCACAGGGTGAAACACACGATGGGGGGCGGTAAGCCGGCCCAGGGGCAGGTCCTCCCAACTTCCCTGCTGCGGAGCTGACCACCGGAGGCGTAGTGAGTGTCTGCCACTTCAGAGCCTCCTGGGTCAGGGGGTGGGGGGGCGCCGTATCATTCCAGTCACTACTGTGTGGCCACACACCCAGGGCTACCCACGGGCCAGCGGAGCTGGGGCAGCACCGCGGTGAGGACAGAGGGGTGACCTACCTCCGTTGGCCAGGAGGTTCTCCCGGACCTTCCCCTTGGCGTCCTCCATGACCTCCACCACGCTCTGGGCCATTCTCTTTATGAGGCTTTGGGAAGAGAACACAGGGCGGGTTAGAGCGGCAGATCCCTCGGGAGACTCCCACGCCCCGCGGGTGGGGAGAGGAGCGGGTGCCGCCCTTTGGGGGATCAAAGGGCTTCAAGTGCTGGCGGCCTTTGGACCAGTATGTCCACTTCTGGGAATTGGTTAAGGAAATAGGAAAACAAACAGGAAAAGCTTTCTGAATAAAAAAAGATGTTTGCAGCCGTGCAGCTGATAGTGAAGAACTGGGAACCGCTGGAAGGTTCTGCAACAGGGGATTGTTTTAGCAGATGATGGTCCACGCAGTGGAGGGGCTATCTGGCGGCCTTTGTCAGTGAGGTTTGCAAAGAATTTCTGATATCGTGGAGCGAGGTGGGAGTTATGACGCTGCGTGGAAAACTAACAAGGTTCAAACTTACACAGAAAGTGTGGCTACAACTCCGTGAAAATTGCGCTTCCCGTTTTAGTTATGTTCTATTATAATCTGGTATCGCTTTTTAAAAAGATTGTATTTATTTTTAGAGGCAGGGCAAGGGAGGGAGACAGAGAAGGAGCGAAACGTCGATGTGCAAAAGAAACTTCGATCCGTTGCCTCTGGCACGCCCTGCAACCCAGGCACGTGCCCTGACTGGGAACCGCACCGGGGACCTCTCGGTTTGTGGGACAACGCCTAGCCCACGGAGCCACACCAGTCAGGGCTGGTATCATTTTTATCATCATAAAATTAAAACTTTTTTAAAGGTTTTATTTATTTATTTTTAGAGAGGGAAGGGAGGGAGAGAGAGAGAGAGAGAGAAACATCAATGTGTGGTTGCTGGGGGTCATGGCCTGCAACCCAGGCATGTACCCTGACTGGGAATCGAACCTGTGACACTTTGGTTCGCAGCCCGCGCTCAATCCACTGAGCTACACCAGCCAGGGCAGAAAATTAAAACTCGTTAAGTCACCAGAAAGTATCCCGAAGGCTCCAGAAAGTACTTGGAGGCAGGACGTGACTGTGCGTGGCTCTGCCAGTTACCAGGCAGATAACTTGGCCCAAGTTTCTTTCATCTCTTCAAGCCACTCTTGGGTGCGAACTGTGGATTGTAGCCATTGTGCAGGACAATTGTAACTATTAATACAATTCACCAGGCTCCTGGCGTGGAGTAGCAAAGAGGGTCTCCTCGTAGAAGCCGGTCTGTGAGAACCACAGTTGGAAAAACGCCACACCAGGATCAAAGCTGAGAGTTCTGGGCAGCCAAGTGTTTGCCTCAGGCCCTCTCTCCAAACTCCCCCGGCTCCTGGCAGGGGGGCGGCGGGTGCAGGGAGGACAGAGCCGGTCACTGATGTCCACACGGGGAACATGGTCTTCTGCTGCTGCAGGCGCCGGCCCTGGCCGCACAGTGCCTGGGGCGGGGGGCTGGGCGGGGAGGCCCCGCCCCTCCAGCATTCCCCCCTTAGTTCCTGTCCATGGGTTGTACGCGTAAGTTCTTGGAGTCCTCTGTTTCCTATGCCATTTTTATCTCTCCACATCTACCTTATGCCTACTAATTATGCTTCTTCTTCCCTGTACCTTTTCCCCCTATTCCTCCCCTCCCCCTCCTCAGGGAAATCCCTCCAGGTGACCTCCGTTTCTCTGATTCTGTTCCTGGTCTAGTTGTTTGCTTAGTTTTTGTCTTTGTTGTTTTCCTTGTCTTTTAGGTTCATTTGTTGATAGTTGTGAGTTTGTTGTCATTTTATTGTTCATATTTTTTATCTTCTTTTTTCTTAGATAAGTCCCTTTAACATTTCATATAATAATGGCTTGGTAGTGATGAACTCCTTTAACCTGACCTTATCTGGGAAGCACTTTATCTGCCCTCCCATTCTAAATGATAGCTTTGCTGGATAGAGCAATCTTGGATGTAGGTCCTTGCCTTTCATGACTTCAAATACTTCTTTCCAGCCCCTTCTTGCCTGCGAGGTTTCTTTTGAGAAGTCAGCTGACAGTCTGATGGGAACTCCTTTGTAGGTAACTGTCTCCTTTCCTCTTGCTGCTTTTAAGGTTCTCTCCTCTTTAATCTTGGGTAGCTTAATGCTGATGTGCCTTGGTGTGTTCCTCCTTGGGTCCAACTTCTTTGGGACTCTCTGAGCTTCCTGGACTTCCTGGAAGTCTATTTCCTTGGCCAGACTGGGCAAGTTTTCCTTCATTATTTGTTCAAATAAGTTCTCAATTTCTTGCTATTTTTCTTTTCCTTCTGGCACCCCTACGATTCGGATATTGGAATGTTTCAGTCTGTCCCAGAGGTTCCTAAGTCTCTCTTCATTTTTTTGAATTCTTGTTTCTTCATTCTGTTCTGGTTGGATGTTCATTTTTCCCTTTTGTTCCAAATTGTTGCTCTGAGTCCCGGTTTCCTTCCTGTCACTGTCGGTTCCCTGAATATTTTGCTTTATTTCACTTTGGGTATCTTTCATTTGTTTTTGTTTGTTTTTTTTTCATTTTTTGACCAAGCTTAATCAGTTCTGAGAGCATTTTGATTACCAGGGCTTTACATTCTCCATCAGATAGGCTGGCGATCCCCTCATCACTTAGCTCTCTTTCTGCAGTTTTGCTCTGTTCTTTCACTTGGGCCCTATTTCTTTGTTTGGTGGGCGCACCTGTTAAGTTGTAAGGGGGCGGGGCAACCCTGCTTGCTGCGCAGCATGCGGCCTGTGGGGGCGGGGCCAGAGATGGAACAGCGGGGCTGCCTGCTCCCGCGCACTTTCCAATGGGCTCTCCTTGACACTGGGCGTTTCTCCCACCGCCGCGGGACCCCCGTCGGGGTCCCCAGTCAGCTCGGAGGCTCCGTTTCGCCTTCAGCCAGCCCCGCCCGCGCAGTCTCCCCTGTCACAGCGGCTTTCCTGAGTCGGCCCGTGAGTTCTGCCTCCTCACCGGCCTGGTAGTTCTGGTTGACTTTTTCTCCAGTTCCTTGGTTGTCGGAGTTCCCTGCAGTTTGATTTTCTGGCACTTCTGGTTGTGTATTGATTTCAGATTGGTTGTTATCCTCCTTTCTGTTGTGCGAGGAACCGAAGGGTTTTTACCTATCTTGAACGGGCCGTATTTTTCCGTAAGACCTATCCTCATTTACATTCCTTGTCTGTTTACTCTAAGAGAGTTGGGTTGTGTTTTGTTTTGTTTTAGGAGAAAGCAATAGCTGGCTCAGGCAAACATTATCTCCAGCTGCAAGGGCAGCTGGGACAGCCCTGCGGCCTCTCCTGCCTCCCCAGCTGTGGGACATCATACCTGGCCAGTCCCACCTGGGTTCCCCATCAACACATTTTGTGCCAGAGCTGCAGGGGGGTGTGTTTCCTGGCCGTCCACATGCATGAAGTGTCCAGAACAGGCAAGTCCACAGAGTGGGTGGCTGATGGTGGTGGTGGGAGGGATCGGGGTGGGGGGAGGAGGGGAGGGAGGCGACTGCTAATGGGCGTGGGCTTTCTTTTCTGCTGTACACGGTGACAAGGCTCTGCAATGGGTGGCGGGGAGGGCCGCACGGCCTTGCACACACACTGGAGAGGAAGGCACCGCAGGCGTCAGAGGGCGACTGTCACAGTGGGCGAACTGTATCGCAGACAAAAATACCTGCCTCGGCCTTTCTCCTGGCTTTCGGGTGGAGGACCAGCCCGGAGGACACTGGCGGAGACTAGAGTCCGGCCCCTCTATGCGGGGCGTTACGCCTTCTGCCAGGTCTCCTCCCTTGGCTCTGCTCCCTCGTCTCCATCGCCACCCTCGTTTCCAGTCGCCAGGAGTCCGTCCAGCCAGTCCCTGGTCCCCGTCCCAGACAGAGCCCGCCCTCTCCCTCCGGGTGTCCCCCGGAGCGTCCTCTCCGCTCCCCGGCCTCTCCCTGTCTGGCCTCCCCCTCCCGTGCATCCTCCCACGGCAGCCAGGCGGGCCTCTAACAACACACCCACCTCTGCGCACGCTGCCCGCCACCCTGCCGTTCCACCCGCGCCGGAGGTTTCCCAGGCCGTCCCAACACTGAGGGTCTCGCTCCTTAGAACAGTTGAGAGGCAGCACCCCAGCCGCCCGGCTTCCGCTCTCTGCGCCCCCTCACCCCGCCCTTGCTGTCCTGAGGCCATCTGGACTATCCTGAGCTACCGGGGTGCCACTCACCCTTCATCACAGCCCACGGGTCCCCTCCCGGGGCAACTCACCCGTAACAGACACAGCAGAGCCGGGTGACACCCCACTCAATACGTGCTGCTTCTCGCACACAACAAAAACACACAGAGTGTGGCCTGGCCGGGTGGCGTAAGCCGGTGGAACGTCGTCCCATACACCAAAAGGTTGCGGGTTCGATTCCTGGTCAGGGCACGTAGCTAGGCTGTGGGTTCTATCCCCATTTGGGCTGCAACCAATCAATGTTTCCCTCTCTCTCTCTCTCTCTCTCTCTCTCTCTCTCTCTCTCTCTCTCTCTCAAGTCAATAAACACATCCTCAGGTGAGGATTAAACACACACGTACTCAGAGTGTCCGCTTCACACCAGGCAATGCGATGGGGACACCGGGGTGAGCAAACCGACCACGGCCGCTGCCCTCCCGACTCCCAGTGGAACGTGCCCCCGCCCCCCGCACCACGTCAGTTACCACCGTCAGACGCATTGCTTTCCTCCCTGAGCGCCCCGAGGAGGAACAGACAGACTCTGAAAAACGTGCGAGTCGTGCAGACCCGTAGTGGCTCCCAGAACCCCCAGCGGCCCGGAGTGCCGGCGGATGGAGAACCCCGAGACGGGACCCAGCCCGGGGCTCCGGACCACACGCACGTGTCACTGGAATTAACCGTCTCTGCTCGTCTACCTCCTCTGCCAGAATGGGAGCTTCTCAAAGAATGCACGTTTCTTTAAAAAAAAATCAGTGTTTCCTATGATTGCAAAATCGTACTCCACGCAGCCGCTATATGGAGCTTCGTCCCCGGCGAGGAGGCCAGGCCCTGGAGCGTCCCAATCCCGCCCCCTGGTAAGCCACATCCCTCCCGCAGGCCCAGGAAGTGATCTGACAACTGGAGGGTCG